GTCTAAAGACTTTGTTACAGCATGATGCAATAGTGGTGCTTTCCTGGAAGGGATCGACTGTGGTTTCGGTTTTCATCAGGTCTCGAAATTTGAGACACGCCTGTGTCAATATTTCCACATCGGAGATACAGTATTCAACGATTTCTTTCTGAAAATCAAAAACGTATCCCTCCGCTTGTCTTTCGCCATGCCATTTTAATAATTTTTCCCGAGCGTCTTCCTTTAAATGGTCGGGATCGTAGAAGTCGAGCGCTGGAATTGGCCCTACATAATTCTGATGAGCCAAAGTGTTGAATAAATGTGGAAAGTATCCTTTCTTTAGCTCTTTCAAATCAAACGCCTTGGGTAGAGCAGTTAGAGGCATAGGAAAATAATTGAGAGAATCCAGAAATTTTACATTTCCTACCTCCATCAATATTAATTTTGTTCCTCTCATAATTACATTCGGGTACAGACTAGTCTTCTCTAAAATGTAACGAAGTAGAAACTGATGATCAAATCCTCCACCATTATGCGCCAGTACAATGACTTTCTTGAATTTTTTACGAAGTGTCAGAATATGATGCATAAATGGAGAAATGACGTCTTGACATCGAAGAATCTGTATTCGAAGGCCACATTTCTTGCATATAGGATTATCGGTACATGATTCACAACATTGTTTGAATACACATAGATTTGGCTCATGCAGTAAAGATCCATTGGGTAATTCCTTCTCCTGACGGGTTTCCAAATCGTAAAATATTAATAAGACATCATTTGATTTAGGAATACTTCTGTCAGGCTGTATATAGCACATATGTTCAATTGGTTGATTTTTATAACATGTTTTACAAAGTATATATCCGCAGATGTGATCATTACCGTTGTGAACTTTAAAACAGTCTACACATCTTTTAATTTTAGAACAGACCGATGGTAAATGAGCGTTAAAACATTCTTGTCCATAAAAGCTTCTATTACATTCTTTGCATTTGATGTGCTTCGTTTTCAGGCAGGCCGGAGATCTTTTACAAGCATAACATTGTTTATCACATCTATGAATTTGTTTAGTATTATACGGAATGTGGCAGTTCTCACAAAAAAAGCTGCAGCAAAAGGCAGCAGTGAGGGATGTTATGACGCTGTAGTGCCCCTCGTGATATATTAGGTTAAGCGTCGGACCAGCGGACACGCCTTCAAAAATGACGTCACGACCTTTGCACCCAAACTTGTATACAACAATTTTGTAGTTTTGCAGATATCGTTGTAGCTTTTGAAGTTCAGGTATTCCACACCCCTCCTCAGGGATAACAATATCAGCCTTTTCCACAAGTTGTACAGCTCTTTGTCCTTGTATTTTTCCTCGATCACGGCGGATTCTGCTATAATCTTTGTCTTTGTTCAAATGGGCCATGGCGATGACAAGGGCTCGTGGGAGACACAAATTATCGGTGTTTTTAACGGTGATAATGCCTTTTCTTTTGGCGCATTCCTCATCAAAGGTATTGAAATTCTGAGCTCTACCACGACCAGCAGGCAACCTTACGGACGTAATACCCAAGCAAAAAGTCTCGGTATTCAACCCCACAGAATTTGACTGATAGATGGAAGATATCTTCTCCCATATGTCCTCAGTTGAAACGTCGGAAAACAATTTAAAAGCTATCCATCCTTGACCGCGGGTAAAGTCTTTGGAACAGAAAGTGAATCCAACTTGATCACTGGGCTGGAGATGTTCAGTTCCTTTGGCTACTATTTCCTCCAGAGCGTCTTTGATCCATCCCACAGGTTCGACGTCTTTAGGGATAGGTCGTATTTTAAATTCCACTTCTCGCCCATATAGATTAAATTTTTTAATCTTCTTAGTAGAATCCTTAACGATGAAGAATTTTTCCATTTTTTAAAAACTAAAACGTTAACTAGCGACTAAATCTGAACTGAGCACGTCTGTTCGCTGCAGATAACTGACAAGATAATTTGCGGTGATTCTTAGGTATTTATAATCTCGATTTTACCCCCACCACTTTTTAACTGACCACAGTGTTTCAAGGTCACCGCTGTTATCGTTGGTCAGTATTAACTCGTTGACAGCCTGCGCTTCCTGCCCATTCACCCATGCTTAACAGCCCCGCCCGGTACTTGCATATCACCGCTACGACAACACCTGCCCTGAACCTAACCTCATTTGCGACGTAGGTGATTGCCTTGTTGAATTTATTAGATACACAATATAGACTGTACTATGTTTTCAATATTGTATCGATGTTAAAAATTAACTAACATTAACTGTATGCACCACATATATGAGCAATTCCATTTTTATATGCACACTGAATATGACGTGTTGATTATTGAGATCATCCTATACGCATTGTTTCCCGCGAATTTTATACGTTTTTCCATTTAAACTGAATCAGCAGAATTGCATCTATAAATATCATTATTCATGGGCTTTTATCGATCTATATGCAAATATTTACCGCAAAACATGAAATGAGTCACATCGCTTACGCATAGACGTTATACTACACCTTACTATCGTCGGCTGTCTGAATCACTTCCGGTCGGGTGCGCTATCTAACGGGGCCCGCCAATCAACATATACCATCAACCCGTTCAAACTTCCCGCCGTCTGATCCACCAATCAGAGCACGCGGTGGATCTAGCGGTTCCCGCCAATCAACATATACCATCAACCCCGTTCAAATTTCCCGCCGTTTGATCCGCCAATCAGAGCACGCGGTGGATGTGGTGGGCGTGGCCAAAAAGTGGAAGTGGTGGGGGGCGCCCAGAGTGCACCAGTATCTACTCATGGGTTATGTAGATAAACTAGACATGTTGAAGTCAATTTATGAATTAGATCGAAAATCTAAAAAGTGGTGGCTGCGCATTTTTTGGTATTTACTTGACATATCCCTAGTGAATGCATACATAATTTTCAAGAACCGAAATACTACGACTAAGTCCGGCAAATGTATGACATTGAAGGATTTCAAGCTAGCAGTATGCTTGGGACTTATTGGAGCAGACGAAAATATTCCAAAGAAAGGGCGGATATCATCAGTGCAACAAAATACCTTCAAAGCCAATGTGCCTCAGGAAATTCGATATGATTCTTGTGCACACATGCCAATCCATGGAAGTTCAAGAAGATGTGCTTATTGCAGCTCTACATCATCACCACGCCGGACAAAATGGATTTGTTCCAGGTAAAGAAAGTAATGCTTCATCTTATTTTTAGTTTTAGCAAAAACTTTTTTTTCAGATGCAACGTTGGATTATGCCTCAACGCAAATCAAAAATTGTTTCCTTCCGTATCACAGACGATAAATGGAAAATATCGGATTTGTCTTCTTTTATTACTTGAAATAAAATTTTGTTTAAAAAAATCATTAGTTCCTTTTACTACCTAGTGGTTTCATAATGAAACCATATTCTAAAGCATTTCAGGATTAAAAAAAATTAATAAAATGTGTAAAGTTATAACATATTGTTCACATTTACCCATATTAAAAGAAAAAGATTCGCAAATTCGAAAAAAAATTAAATCCGGCGTCAAAGGGTTAAGGCGGCACCTGCACGTGATGGGGGTGGCTGAGGATCCCTTATGCGAACGCTGCGGAGTAGAGGAAGAGACCTCGGCGCACGTTTTGTGTCGCTGTGAAGCTCTTAGCTACTATAGGCAGACTATACTGGGGTCCATTACTTTGGACCCTCAGGACGTAAAGGAGCTTGGACTCAAGGCGATTCTCAACTTCGCTAAAAGGGCGAGGCTTGTGATTTAAGTATTGTAGAGGTGCATAAGGGCCCGCTTAAGCGGCCTATGCACTGGCTCCTTATGGTGGCCGGGATGCCTCTAAAATTCAAGATTCATTCATTCAAGGACAGATCCCTAAATCTGGAACTTACAAAAACGGATGTAAATCTATTAACGCGAAGGCGAAGTCTACCCCAGATAACTTTTATGGTAGAAGGTGTTGAAGTAGTCCCACGAAAAGCCATCAAATACTTGGGCGTATGGCTTGATACCAAATTATCATGTGTGAAAAATCTCAGAAAACGACGGCAGCTGTATCAAGGTTAATACCAAATGTGGGACGACCTTCTAGCAAGAACGTGCCCTTTGCGGCTCTGCAGCTCTCTATGAAGCATTAGTGTGGCATGAGGCGCTACAAGTGCAACGAAATCGCAGAGCTCTAGAATCTGTCTTTAAAAAGTTAGCTATTAGAGTATCCAGGTTATACCGTACACTGCCTTTGGATGCTGTGATGGTCATAGATGGAATGCCTCTAAAAGACCTTATGACTAAAGAAAGGACAAACACATATGGCAACACAGGACATACAATTCGTCAAGAAGCAAGGTCCAGGCTCATTGACGAATGGCAGGTTAGGTGGACGATGTCAGATAGAGGTAGCTGGACGAGACGTCTAATACCTGACGTCAGGATTTGGTTAGAGAGGAGGCATGGAGAGGTAGACTTCTTCTTGACACAACTGCTCTCGGGACATAGCTGCTTTAGAGCATACCTTCATAGCTTTTGAATCGTGAACGAGCCTACCTGCCTATACTGTGGCAAAAATAATGATGCAGAAGACACCATGTTCGTTTGCAGAAGATGGGTAGATAAAGGGCAATCCCTCTTCAATGACATAGGAGAACTGAAAACAAGACCAACAAGAAACGAGGCAGTTGGGCACAGTGTTGCTGTTTTTGTTACGAACTTACTAACAAGGAAACGGAACGAAATGGCTGACTTGGAAGCACTTTTCTCTGACAACAAATAGAATATTAGCTTGAGACTGCCATAAGATAGACACTGACAGCAACGAAGTAATGCTTTAGTGGTTCCGCTGCTGTGCGTACAAGACGCAGTAGTAGAGGTTTTCTTTACTGGGTAGGAGCCCCAGTCACCGTAAAGATCGGTGCATGAAAGAAGATCAAGAAAATACATAAGAAGTTTTCCATCTGCACAAAAATGCTACTACTAGGCTTTAGACTATATTGGCGTCCTACATTGCTACTGACATAATTGCCAGATTTTTTTTAATCCAAATTTAGCTTACCTAAAATATAAAGTACGGCGTCAACAGCGTTATCTATTGCACCAATACCTCCTCGCTTCTCCGCTACTACAATACTTGATACAATCGCGGCCTCTTTCTGCCTCAGGAAAAGATTCAAAGCGTTGAGGCAACTAGAAATCTTCTGTTGCAAGGTACCGCTAATTTCTATTTCGAAATGCTCCTCTTGCATCTCAGCAACTAATCCTACCTGAAAGAAAAAACCTTCCGTCGATAAAACAAGCCTCTGATCCATGATCATAATGTAAGTACGCTAGAGAAAGCACTTGTCCGACAGACTCAACCCATTATGGAGATTCCATTTGTAAATATAAAAGCAATATTGAAATTAGTCGTGATAGGGGCTAGTGGATATAACATAATAATCGGAGCCTAGCTGTGTAACTAAATATCAAATATGTGTTTCAACTTACTTGTCCAATCGCTCCCCACTCAATAGCCAGAGCTGGATACCCGTCTTTTCTTCGCCTTTCACATATCCTTTCCATCACAGAGTTCGCCATTCCGTAATTAGTCTGACCAGCATTACCTCGACCGCAAGTTACCGATGAGAATATCACGAAGTCTCTGGAATTACAGATTTTTGCGTTATCTAAACCACATATGTATACGGATAGATCCTTTAAAAATAAATGTCCCATTATTTAACGTACGTAATATTTCTTCATATCAAACTCAGGTGATCGTGCCATATGAAAAACAGGAGCCAAGAGAGCTTACTCTAAACTACAAATAATACTAGAAGGCATCGCTCCATACCAAAATTATGATCAATAGATTTTGTGTGATTTTATGGTTTCTACCTATGGAGCTGTTCCAAGAATGGATCGTGATCAACGTTCTAATGAATTCATTCCGAATTTAGTAATTTTTCATACCGTAGGTCAGGGCACATCTCTCGTGTAACTTCATCCAGGTACTCTGTGGCTTTAGCTTTAGGTTTAAACGACGTCAGGAATGTATCTGGCGACTGGTTCTCGAATAGTGCATCAGCCAGTACTACAGCCAGGTTAAAGACGGCATGTACTGATCCAAATTGACTCGATTCTTTTATCAGCTTCTCGCAACCTTCCCTTGTCGTTATGTCGGCTTTTGATATGTGGACTAGAGCGCCATACGATCGCCATGTCCTGAAAAAGAGTGATTTATCATTTTGCTGGTTTCAAACAGATTTTTCATGCGGGGCCATCTACCTAATTTCTATTTTTTAAGCATTTTTTTGATATCCTAAGTCCTAACTGAGTTTACGAGGGATGTCTTTTAAGTTTTGCATATAGAAACATAGTAGGCCGCGCGGATCGAACGTCAGTACTGAATCTTAACCTCACTCTTTAGTAAACTTAAATTCAAAGTTTCACAACAATACGTGCAGTGTTCTCACTACAGTGTATTTTTAAATGTCACCAGGTCATTAGAAAAATGGAACTCAACCGAGAACATTTTTGCGCCATAATTTATTACAACTTTCAGAGACAATTATCGCAACAAGAATGCCTTGCTGAGTTACTGTCTGTTTTCGGCAACGAAGCGCCATATCAGTCGACAATTTCCCGTTGGTATGGAGAATTCAAACGTAGACGGGTGAGTCTTAGCGAGGATCCCAGGGTGGGTGCACCAAAAACGGCACTCACCCAGGAAAACGTCGATGCTCTGCGCAAACTCATCATTGAAAAAAATTTTACATGAAGAATTAGGAGTAAGGAAACTAGTTTCTCGTTGGATACCCCACCTGTTGACTGAAGAGCAGAAAGCAGCCAGGGTTAATTAGTGTCAAAAAACGCTTGACCGTTTCAATTCCGTAAACTCAAAAAATGTGTACAGCATTGTTAGTAGTGATGAATCGTGGATTTACTATTATCAACCATAAAATAAACGACAGGCGGCTGTTTGGGTGTTTCGAAAAAGATGGTCGCGACATTTGTGTCAAAAGCGGGTCATATTGCAACAATTCCACTTAATGAGCAAAGAATCATCCTCCACCAAGACAATGCAAGCTCGCACACAGCTCAAAAAACTAGGCAGTATTTAACGGAAGAAAACGTGGAATTATTGGGCCACCCTTCATATAGTCCCGATCTAAGTCCTAACGATTCCTTTACTTTCCCGAAAATTAAAAACAGACTGCGTGGTCAAAGATTCCAGTCACCAGAAGAAGCAGTTGACGCATTCAAAAATGCCGTTTTGGATCTGCCAGCAAACGAGTGGAATAAGTGCTTCGAAAATTGGTTCGAGCGCATGCAAATGTGTATTAATCTTCGTGGAGAATACTTCGAAAAACAATAAAGTCATTTAAAACTACCTACCGTGTTGTTTTATTTCCATATGTAAAACTCAAAAGACATCCCTCGTATACTCTAAATAATGGATGCTGTGGTAGTGCTCAAAGGAAAACGGTTAATTTTAAATACAGTAGAACTGACGATACGAAATGCGACTTTATTACTTACTTTATCCTTAACCTCTGGTACCCCGTTTGTACACCTTTCCTGGATGTTAGTACTACTCTTCTTGCTCCTCTCAATATCAGCCAATCTGCCAGTTCAAGTCCAAAACCGCCAAGGCCACCAATAATTATGTATGTCTTCTCAGGGTAACAGAAGTATCTAAAAATCAAAATATGGGTTATTAAGGGTTATAGAAGAGGGCGATTTATAATTTCACTTCCCACTCCAGTTAGCTAAGAAGTATTGTAATAGCAAACAAATTATGAACTATATATTATGTTTTTTGGATGTTAGGTACATCACGAAAAACTATGTTAATCATTTCAGTCGCTCTGTATGTCTGTTTGTCTGTCGGTCAGTCGCTAATACTTAGCTCGTTTATAACTTGAAAAGTACTGCTCAGGTTTTGACATAAGGTTATTATCTTACTAGTCCAAGGACTAAAAAGCTTCATAGATTATGAAAAGCGATTTAGTGACGTCGGAACTGCGGACATGACAACGAGCGAAAAAGTAAAACTTGCTCAAACTTTGTAGATCTGTTAGATGTACATATAATTGTCACACATGATAACGATGGTAAAATTTAAACACGCTGCAAACTAATTTGTTTCAAATCTCCCATGCGATGATGACTGTTCACTTTGGCCCACCGGCACCGGTATTACGTAACTTGAAAAGTCACATTATGTCGTTTTTTACATCATATCGGTTTTTTGGACATGTAGGTTTTTTTGACATTATGTGTGTTTTCCTACAAGACATCAACTTGAAACTAGATGTGGTTCACTTCATGCTCACTTGTAGCAAGCTATGAATCAACTATTTGCACACTTGCCCACCTTGTCAATAAGTTGACATTTAAATTTTTGTTTTGACATGATATATATTCTTTAAGTAGGCCGAACATAGTTCAATTGATAAAAGGAGTGGGAAGTAGAGAGTCATTCTTGTCGACACGATTTTTGAATAACAACATTTAGTTACTAAATTGTTATGATTAACAGTTTAGGATAAAATGCCATATTTCTTTTGAAATAAAAGTGCTCTAAAAATACTTACAAACTTTTGAAAATACAAAGAGCATTCTTCCTCATAATTCTAAATAATGTTTTATGTTATTCTTGTAACATCTCCAGCTCACCTTGGGAAACCTTTGAAAGTTTTCACTGGCGGCAATGCTGTGATTTCTTTAGGATCTCGAACTTGTATCATTACCTTGCCCATGTGCTTGCCTGTCGCCATATACCTGAACGCCTGTTCTATTTCGTTATATTTGAATACTGTCCTGTTCAGAGGCTTCACTGCGTTTGACGCCATGGCTTTGTACAAGTAGTCAACCTAATCAACAATAAGTGTGTTAAAGTAACATCGTATGGAACCTATGAGAAGTTCGCGAAGCTCAGGCTATTGATCGCTTCGTCGGTAGCAGGAAACTGGTTTCCTGGCATCTCTGATTTTCAGCCTACTTCAATGAAGCGGAAGAGCGGCCAGCCACATAGGCATCTGATTAATCATGGGAGTGCCGACAGCGTTGTGTAAGGTTGGTTATGCTAACAGCAATGAAAAGCAAACAGATCATATTCAGCCTGTGTTTAGTTTATGCAACTTCTGTTTAGTATGCCGAAACTGGTATCACATGTAGAGTACTTAGTACTTCCTGTTCGATAAGACACGTATGTGGTTGAAACTTGTTATTTTCATTGAAGCGAGCTGTTAGTCACAAATTCCGGGAAACTATTTCCGGGTACTGATCTCTTTGATTTCCATCTCTGCTATCATAACCAACCATATACAACGTTGTTTCTAGTACGGTATAGGTCTCTTGTTAGCTTCCCGTCATCCGTCTTCAATGACTATACTTATATCGTACTGATGATTGCTGAAAACCATCAAACAACAATGTATGAGGTTGGTTATGCTCACAGAAATGGAAAGCAAAAAGCCATCGAATGAAGTACCTGAGACATAAATTAACAAAACAAGTGATCATCAAAACATATTTTCCATGAAAATGGAGTCCAATTAATCAATTCCAGTTGTTTCAGAACAAGAACAAGTTTAGTCCAGAAGAAGGAAATGACCCTTCGTTGGGTGCCTGGACACAGAGAGTACAGTAATGTTTAGTTATAACTTGTATGTGCACATAATTCGAAAAAAAAATGTATGAAATGATGAAAATTAATGTATCATTTTTAAGCAGATATTTCAGAGACCATATTCAGTCAATAATACTCACTATTTCCTTTTTGTTTTCCGGACTGGCTGAAAAGATTTTGTCCAACATAACTCCTATGAAGCTGGCCTCTTTCTTCAAAAACTCTAATTGGAGCGCATGATTGCTAGCAAGATCAAACTTTCCGATTTCCACGAATCGGCCGCCATGTGCTAGACACCTCACGCCAGCCAGAAGTTTGTCCTCTGCCAGACTATTTAGGACAATGTCCACACCTCGGCCCTTAGTCTCGCGGTAGATCATTTGTTCGAAGGTAGTGTCTCGAGAGTTTCCAATATTGTTATCTATTGGAACAAGGAACAACCGTCAACTCAGTTTCATCGACATCAAAAGTCTTAAATATTAAGTCTCTGAAGTGATATCTTGGACGTTTTGAGAAAACGATTATTTTTTAAGCTAAGGGTAATCACGTGTAAAGAGCCTGAATAAACAACAACTGAAAATGCCTGGGTACAACCAGCTAGATAGAATGCATCCTTTTCATATACTGCCGAATCGTTTAAATAGACCACTTTGGTCGTTGCTAACTGGATTACATCTAGTAACAGCTATAATGCTGCTCGTGAGCTTTCAATAGAGGCCTATAAAAGACTCGAAGAGTCACATATGGACATTTTTCTATTTATTTTGCGTACTTCAGTAAACAAAAAATGTGGAAGATCTAAGATATCGAATAGGTAATTGCTGATTTATTTGTAGCAGTTGTTGTAGACCAACAACATCTACATGTGTATTTTTTTGTAAGCTTTGCTTACACTGAACTCACTAAAGATTAAAGCTTTTCGAAAATTCTCAAAAACAAAATAGTCATATACGAATGGTGAGATCATATATGTTCATCCGTTTTTTAGTAGAAAAATATAAACTTTATTGAGAAACAATAAGACACTATTTATTCGCCGAAGTTATTACCATCACATTCAATCACCTTTTGCCAACGTGGACAATTCCAGTTGCTGTCCACCAAACACACAACAAAGCCTTGTGTGGTACCGAATCAGTAGGCGACAACGAACGCTTAGAATTCGTATACAAGATCCATTTTTCGTCGCACGTTAATAACTGATTAAGAAATGGTTCATTAGCGTTGCGTGAAATATTTGCTGAACAAATGGTAAGACGACTTAATTTGTTATCATTTGTCAGTTCATGTGGGACCCATTTTCTTAACTTCCACATCTTTCCTAGCTGATGAAGATGCAAACAAATAGTTTCAGGACTCACTCTGAACATTTCTGCAACTTCTTGGCACGTTGGCATGTGGAATTTACGTCCACAACCTATCGAAGATCCTATCGATCAACAACCCCCGTAGCAATGTGCGATATATAACAATCGCACGAACTTATTTGGTTACCTTATACTAATTAAATTTTGAGTTATTCTGGATCCTTGCAAATGTCTAATAATTGTCCCATGCTTAGATGCTTAGCAAACACCCTGGTACATAGAGCTAAAGTGATTTGCACTATAAAACCCTTATGCCCCTATGCATCCTATCATATATGTTTGTACAAACTTCACAGTTTTATTTAAAGGGTTTCTTGTCTGTGATCGCTGATATCTCTATAGACAAGGAAGTACCTTGGCATCCGCTCGGAAAAATATTCTGATTTCGGTATGTTTTGCATTATCTTATTTGAATTTGAATGAAGCAGGTTCAAAACAACATCAAAATTTTGCATTTCCATTTTGTTTAAACAAATTACGAAAATTAGTTTCTCCGTTCCGGGCAAAGTTTTTTCTCGCGAACTTTTCTCTAAAGTTGATAATTCAGTGATTTATTATTTTAAGTCTACAAAGTTCCCATGTATATTATTGATACCTCCGTAAACAAAATCTTAAAGTATTTTAAGGTAGGTATTTGCTACTAATGGGTGATTCTTTTGCTAGTATCTTTTTGGCAACAGTGTTTTTGACAGATGACGCGTGAATCGTGTCTTGTGTCATTGTCAAACATGTTTAGTTTGGTCTATAATTTAACCATGAATCAACTTACGAACGAACAACGCTTGCAAATTATTGAATTTTACTATCAAAATTCACGCTCGGTTAAAAGTGCATCGAGCACTGCTTCCAATTTATGGGCAATTTGGTCGGCCTACTGAGGGAGCTATTCGGAAGCTTATGACTAAATTTCGAACCCAGTTCACATTATTGGACATTAAACCACCAACACGCAGACGTAGAGTGAGAACTGAAGAAAATATTGCGGCTGTATCTGCCAGTGTTAGTGATGACCGGGAAATGTCGATTCGCCGCCGTTCGCAGCAATTGGGCCTCTGTTACTCCACTACGTGGAAAATTTTGCGACAGGATTTGGGTGTAAAACCTTATAAGATACAGCTGGTGCAAGAATTGAAGCCACACGACCTCCCACAACGTTTCCAATTTGGTGAATGGGCGCTGGCAAAGTTGGAGGAAGATCCACATTTTTATCGCAAAATTGTGTTCAGCGACGAAGCTCATTTCTGGTTGAATGGGTACGTTAACAAGCAAAATTGCCGCATCTGGAGTGAAGACCAGCCAGAAGCATTGCAAGAGCTACCAATGCATCCCGAAAAAATCACTGTTTGGTGTGGATTATGGGCCGGGGGCATCATCGGGCCGTACTTCTTCAAAGACGACAATGGCCGGAACGTAACTGTGAATGGCGAGCGCTACCGTGCGATGATAACAAACTTTTTCCTAGATCGTGTGATTTAACGCCGTTGGACTATTTCTTGTGGAGCCATGTTAATGCTAATGTCTACAGGGATAAACTAGCAACGATTGACGCACTGGAAGCCAATATCGAAGCATTTATTCGTGAGATACCGGCCGATATGTTCGAGAGAGTGTGCCAAAATTGGACCTTGCGCATGGGCCATCTAAAGCGGAGCCGCGGCCAACATTTACATGAAATAATCTTTAAACATTAAATTATATCGACCGTTCTATCGACTCAAATAAGGATTTAATCGTTTTTTTCAAATTTTTTGTGTTTTTTTTGAAAATCAAATCCTATACCTCTTAAAAAATCACCCGTTATAAGCCTTTACTTTCAATAATTGTTAAGCAATCAATGATTCTGCGTAAGTATACTATTTTAGCCACATTTATGATATAAAACCAACATTTCTAATCTAATTTGTTGTAAAAGTGCCACTAATACCATTATTGCAACTATGTTACAAACTTACGGGTGATACATTATTTGACCTATCCGAGTTACCAAAAATCTAAAAAACCTTATCTGGAGCGAAAACGGCGATTTTTGTAATTTGTTCAACCTTCCATCGAGCTCAGACGATCTGTTAGGCACAATTACGCCTTAGTTCATAGTTTTCCTCTCTTCCTCATCCCAATACCTTCCTGACGTTGAATGGTCATCGCTTAGTTTGTCCTCTATGCCTGACCGAGAAAGTAAATTCTGGTGTCCCACATGGGAGTGTTTTAGGCCTTGTACTATTTACATTTTACACATCAGATCTGACGGATTATACATATATCATCTGGTTGGAATGTACACTTGTATGCGGATGATGTACAAATATATAAGGCATCTACACCAGATGATGCAAATACCCTCATATAAAAAGGCAGTAAATACAAATATACTTTTAAATGGTACTACTATTCAAATTGTAGAGGAAACAAAAAGTTTGTGAATACTATTAGATACAAATTTAAGTTTTGAATGTCATGTTATGAATAAACTCAGATTGTGCTATTATAAATACTTATAAAACGCTTTGGAAATATGTATAAACACATACTGACATGTGATACTAAATTAATGCCTGTAAACTCGTTAATCCTTACACATTTGGTTATGGTGTCACAGTCTATTAAAACTTCCTTACAGAGGAAATAAAACAAAAAATTCAGATTTTGCAGAATCATTGCATAAGATTTTGTTATAATAATATAGGTAGAGAAGAACACATCACTGGCTACTATGTGAGAGAAGACATTTTAAAATATAACTACCGTTCATTGCTTTTTTATGGTGCTCTATTATACAGGGTGTCCGCAAAGTTGGGGTTTTCCTTTTCAGAAACAACTACCCTTGAAATAACAAAGGTAATGTGTAGTGAAACGAGGGCGAAGGAAAAAGTAATCACTCTCCAGTTGACGAGAAGGTCTAAGTACGTCTCTGCCCGAAATTATACCGCTCCAATAGAAAATGAAATCAGCTGATGCGCTTCCGAGCAGACGCCGGCGGTGGTGTAGACCACGAACAGAGGTCACAAATATGACGGCGTTGCTGCGTTTTCAGTTTTTAGGTAAACGTACTTTATATGTATTGTTCGAAGTTATCGCCGTTTGATTCAAAAACACAGGTGCGTGCACGACGTAGCCAAGCATCGGTGCAGGCTTTGAAAATGGAGTCCCTCCCTCGAATGAAAGCACCAGCTTGTTCAATTCTGAGACGAAGTTCGTCAACCGTATGCACTTCAGTTTTGTACACTAAGCGTTTCATTTCTTCCCAAAGAAAAAAATTACATGGTGTTAAGTCTGGAGGCCACGCTACGGGTCCCTTACGTCCGATCCACCTATTCGGAAATAATTCATTCAAAAACTCACGCACTTCGCGTCTAAAATGGGGCGGTGCACCATCGTGCAGAAACCACATTGATTGTCTTACACTTAATGGCACATCTTCTAACAAGGAAGGCAAAATGTTTCGTAAAAAGTCTAGGTATTGCATCCCGTCCAATCCATTTGGGAGAATAAATGGTCCAATGAGCATACCGTTCACCATGCCAGCCCAAACATTCACCGAAAATGTTTGTTGAAAATGTGCCCGACGGACAGCGTGCGGATTTTCTACTGACCAAACATTAGTGTTGCGAAAGTTATTCACCCCATTACGCGTGAACGTAGATTCGTCTGTCACCAATATGCACTTCAAAAAGTCTGGATTATTGTCAAGTTGATGCAACAACCACTCATAAAACCGCACTCTTGCTGGAAAATCGTCAGGTTGAAGGGCTTGAACACGTTGGACGTGAAACGGATACAGCCCCTCTTCACGCAGCGTTTGCCACACTTTAGTATTTGATACTTGCATGTCTCTAGCCACGTCTGTAGTGCTTGTTGTTTTTTGAAACGCAATGGATTATACAGGTTCGTTTACCTCTACATGCGTGACCGTAACCGTCGGTTGAAGGTCGCAAACTGACCTGACACACTGACCTCGACCCAGTTCTGTCGTCGGGTTGAGCTAGTGTCCTAGTACCAGTCGGGGATGTCGCGGGTCGCGGCTACAGGACGGTATTCAGATATTTTTGATGTTGCAGAGCCCTTTATCTCAGTTCCCTTAAGACATTGGTGTATATGGCACTAAGAAAAATTGCTTATGTTTTCAAGATCTACACGGCGTGTAAAGGAAAACCCCAACTTTTGCGGACACCCTGTATAAAGTTTTAACATATAAATCTCCAAATTATCTGTATAATATTTTAGAGAAAAGATCCTCTGTTCGACATGTTTTTGGAAGAAACGATAATTATTATAATATCCCAGGCCATGTGACATCTGAATTCAAAAAAGCTTTCACTTACACAGCACCTTGTTTGTTGAATAAATATTTAGAACTTTTCAAAATTACTTCCAGTAGTAGTTTCAGAAAGGCATTCAAGAAGGTGCTTCTCCAGTTACAAGCTTCTGAGGCTGAAGAACTTACGATTCAATATGGTATTCTATTTACAATGGTACCTCAATTTTATAAATTACATTATCTATGTAAAATTAGAGATAAGATGAATCGCATGTTTTTTAATTGTTTTAATTTACTGAATCTCTCTATAACTGCTGTAGGCGACGTTGAAAAATAACAATGCCAATCCATAGCCTTTTGGAATGTTTTTTTTAAATGTATATATATTCATTTTGTATAAGTGTTCCAATAAACATTATTATTATTATTATTCTGTATTTCACTCCTAGAGGAAGGGATGAGTTTGACCGGAACTCTGCCTGAGTTCTAAAGTCTTTAGTCGGAAAGGGTTTTCCGCAAGATGTGGGCTGTTCCTAGCAGTGCTATCTTTTGAATTTGTGTTGCAAAAACATCTCCGGGGAGTTCTTTTATGTTGTTCTTGAATAACATAGTGGCAGTCCCCAAAGCTCCGATGATCACGGGTACCGTTCTTGTCTTTGTCTTCCACATGCGCGATATATCGATTTCGAGGTCTTTGTATTTTCTGGCCTTTTCCGCTTCTTTGGTGTTGACGTTGTTGTCGTCTGGTACAGATACCTCATTAAGCAGGCATGTGTTCTGTGTTTTATTATGGTAAATAATATCAGGTCGGTTGACGGAAATCGTACGGTCGGTAATGACTCCTTTGACGTACATAATTGATGCTTCTTCAGGAGAATGATCATACCAGTTGTTGCTAACTGGTACTTGGTGCTGCTTGAGGATAGCCCAGTGTATGTATTTAGCGACGTTGTTGTGCCTTTCGGTCAATTCTGTTGGTGCCAGTGTTGAGCAGCCTGAAATAATGTGACTTATATGTTCCTCACATTGATGGCATATTCTGCATTTGCTGTCGACATTCTGTTTCAGGACCATTCTTCTATGGTAGCGCGTGTTAAGTGCCTGGTCCTGTGCAGCAATCAGTAGACTTTCAGTCTTCGCCTTCAGTCCTGTACTTTTCATCCAATCCAGGGACATGTGTTTATCTACATTGGTTTTGTGTAGGTTATTGTAGAACTGTCCATGAAGTGGTTTCGTTTTCAGGGCGTTGACTTTTTCTGTTCGCATGGCCTCCTTTAATCTGAGTCTCAAGTTGTCCGCTGACTGATCTTCGTTCAATTGGTATGCATATTGTCTTTTCATGGCTTCCCCGATCTTTGTAATGGAGTATTTAGCCTTTTGTTGCTCATGCAATAGCACTAACTTGATGAACTTGTCGTTGAAATGGAGTATGTACTCGTAAAGGCCGGCAATTGTCATCCTGTAGGCACTGCAGAGTTCAATTAAACCTCTGCCACCATCGCGCCTTGAAATATAGAGTCGGTCTTTGTCAGCTTTGGGGTGATGAAACTTATAGATGGTTAACAGTTTCCTGGTTTTTCTATCTATTTTTTCAATGTTTGATCCGCTCCAGTTCAATATTCCAAAGCTATACTGCATTACCGGTACAGCAAGACTGTTGACTGCCTTTATTTTATTTTCGGCGCTCAGTTCTGTTTTCAAGATTCGCCTTAACCGACCATAGTATTCCTTCTTCACATTTTCTTTCATAGATTCATGATGTACCTCGTCACTTTCATGAACGCCAAGATATTTATAGGTTTCACTTGGATCAAGGTAGTCAAATCCTGCATTATTTTCAGTTATTTGGTTTACGTTCATTGAGATCTTTCCTCTGGTAATCGTGATCCTTTTACATTTTTCCAGGCCAAACTGCATGCACATGTCCTCACTAAACCGCTTCACAATATCTAGCTCTCTATCTAGCTGCTTGTTGCTGGATGTGAATAACTTGAGGTCATCCATATATAATAGGTGACTTATATAGGAACCCTGCCTGACCTCGTATCCAAGTTTTCCAGAATTCAGAGCATTAGTCGTTGGAACCAGGAAGATGCAGAATAGCAGCGGTGACAAGGAATCTCCTTGGAATATCCCTCTGCGGATTCTTATTTTCTCAGTTTTTATACACCCTTCAGTGTGATGTAGCTGTAATTCGGTATTCTATTTCTTCATAGATGATTCGAGGAACTTCACAACAATCGGATTAACCACATATAAACTCAGAGCTTCAAGGATCCAACTATGAGGTATACTGTCGAATGCCTTGGCGTAGTCCCGTAGTCTATCCAGGCCATGCTTAGATTTCGTTTTCTCTTCTTGGCATCTTCAACTACCATTTTGTCTATGAGTAACTGATCCTTGCAGCCTTGAGTTAATCGACGGCAGCCTTTTTGTTCTGACGGTAGAATGTTGTTAGAGGACAGATGGTTATACAGGGTGACTTCGAAGTTGAGTCATTTATTTTAACAGTGAGTAGATATGATCAAAAGAAATGTTTTTTTCCTTTACCATTTTTCTGGTAAAATTAAAGTAACAAAGTTATAGCCCTTTGGAAGTTTGAGTACCGCCCTGTCTCAATAATATCATGTACTCGTGTTTGGCAACAACGGATATAATCCACCTTATCGGTTCATCGCATCGGAAACAAAAAAGCGAAAGAATTTGGAACGATGTTTATTTTATTCAGTTCAGTTATACTCGTACATACAGTCGCGTGTGAATAGTGTCTGTTGCGTGGCTCAAACGAAATAAAAAATGGCACATGTTTATGCGGATCGGTTTCCCAATCGAGTGCAACCAACCCCTCGTGCCTTTGTTAATGTAGTACAACGGGCTCGTGAATCAGGTGACTTCAGACCCCACAGGGGACCTCACGATCAAATACAGGTCCGCACTGAAATACTTGTCGGGAGGATACTTTATAAAACAAGGTAAAAATTTTTTTTTATATTTTTTTTATTTTTATACACATATTTTGGTTTATCTTCCTTCTACAATCATTATCTGAAAATTAATGACTCAACTTCAAAGTCACCCTGTATATTCTATTAGAAATAAGTGAAGTACGAACCTTATATAGTGTGGGTAAGCAGGTAATTGGACGATAATTTTTCACCTCTTTCGAATTTTTGCCTTTGTATAGCAAATATGTGATACCAGTTGTCAACCAATGCGGAGTGTTGTTAGGGTGTTTGGTCAAATTGCTCATAGCAACAGCCAGATGACAGTGGAGTGCATTGAAGGATTTTATTATTATTATTATTGAACGATTTTTTCCAACGGAAGTGAAGATACCTCCTAGATTGCTACCAATCAATGAATCAATCAGTCAAAAGTCCGTTGCACAACCACCACATTTTCAAATGCTTACCATTGAGTTGCGGGAACTCCTTTTTGAGGAACTCCCGTTTCTCTTGAGTTCCCACGGTGGTATAGACCGTACAACCTTCGTACAGTGCGATCCTTATAGCTGCTTGTCCAATTCCACCAGTTCCAGAATGAATTAGTAACGTGTCGCCACGCTTCATTTTTGCACGCTGAGAAAAAAAATTCAGTTAATACGACAGCAACTCATGTCAAGCTTAACGTGTTTACTTATTTCTGAATCGATACGGGAGAGCTTGGAAAAATGAAACTATTTTGCGTCCCCAGGTTTTTGTCGGGAACAGCGAGGCAGAGAACAAAAAAAGGGACCGTTCCGTTTAAAAAGACGCTTTAGGTCACGTTATTCATTCAGACGTCAGTGCTTAAATGGACAATTTCTAGATCCATTTTGAGAAGTAGACTTCATATGAGCGTATGTCCTAAACTTCTGAACCTTTGAGATGCAGTTTGGTAGTTTCCAAAAATTAATCATTTATTATTCATGTTTGTAAAACCCCATCAAATATTTCAATGAATTTTTGGCATACGTGCACTATGTATGAAGAGGCGTTTTTATGTACTACATTTTTTCAGCAAATTTGATCGTGTGATTTTTTCAATCCGATGCACGGTTTTTGTTTAAAAAAATAATAACCGTTTCTCTGAATGATCATAACAATATTACGAGGACTCTACCGATGGAACACGTATGCACGCAACACGCACACAGTCTGGCTCCGCCTTAGAGATGCACCGGGTGGTACCTCCACATTTGGCAGTCAATATCAATATCCTTGGGACGGGATTCGAACCCGCGCAGTGCAAGGCGACTGATTAGGAGACCCATAACGTTTGCCTACCAGATGTAATTGCTTCTGAAGAGCCGCTAGTGTTGGTGGACGATGATGCAGAGAAGTCACTTTTCGTTCCATCATATACCACACATGTTCAGTATGCGAAAGGTCTGTAGATCTAGGAAGCCAGCGGAGAAGACTGGCTTAAGCATTATTAAAACAGTTCATTGTAGCTCTAGCAATATCGAGGCTAGCATTATTTTGTTGGAAAAGAGGGTTGTTTTTTATCAGGAGTGTGTCAAGGAATGCATGGTAAACTCACACGAGTCAGAAGATGTAATGCAATTTTTCAGTTGAACATCTTATGCACCATACTGTAGTCATCTTCGTTCCTTGGCCTCCTAGATCTGCGAACCATTTGCCCATTCAACATGTTTGGGATATGATACGAAGAATAGTAACCTCTTTACCTCGTCCTGCACAGGCACAAGAAGACATAAATCACTACCTCAGAAGCATGTTTTGACGACTGGACAGGTATACAGCATCGGGGTGGCCCAATCCAGCTTTACAGCAAATGTTTTAGCTTCAAAATGCAATCACGACTTCCTCTAGAGCATGTCTAACTGTATATGAAATTTTATTTGACATCGATTATGATTGATTAAAAAATCTTTTAAGATAACTTGATCTAGTTTACCGCAGATAGTTTTTTGGACAATAGCTAGTCATGCAACACACAGCAAGAAGATCTCCACTGAAGTCTATATGATACAGAATAGTCTCTTTATTAAGAGAATTGTGACCCTGATATTCAATCACAGGTACTTTAAATGGAGTGATTTTGTTTCGAAGAAAGAAACTAATTTTGAGATTCAATACCTCTGTACCAAAATGCCCGTGTTATTGACATGCAGTTTCTTGTACCGAGGCTCCCACTTTTTTAAATTAAACTTATTAGGTTGTTGAATCGTATGAAATAAAGATCTATAGCCATGGTCTTTACCTACCAGTATAAGTGCAAAAATTATAGTTGAATAAACGACAGGTATCGTTGCCGCTTCCTCTAGTGTCATATTGTCTGGAATTTTCAAATTCAGGTAGGCGTCATTGAAGAACATCGTCGTCAGTGCTCCAGACGTAGACATTGCCATCACTCGGTTTCCACTAAAAGACAAAAATAAGTTCTATAATCAAGACAAATCTAAACAAAAGTTCTTTAATGTTAGAATGGAAATCATCCTTCCCGCTGCGTAGTATGTTGAGCTATAACTGCCCTTTGGGTAAATGAACTGCTCAACTTTGTTATCGCATTTTTGGGCCAATTGTATTCTCAGCTTTTCTCTATACGATAACCTGAAGCGTAGGGTGCTCAAATCAAGAGTGACTGCGCTAAGACACATGTCCCAAAACAAGAGTTGCAGAGATATTCACGTGAATTTTCCGCTATAATACAAAGCGTTACACAAAACCCTTATCGTTATTTTACTGTATTTTTGTGCCATAAAAGTTTCTCTAATCCAAAGGACGTCAAACTTATCGCTCACTTTGAGAATCAATTATTTTCTAGCGCCCTCCAAGGTTGTTCAAGAAAACTTCCGTCTCGGGGGGAATCTGCGATTAATTGAAAACTGAACAGTGGGAAGAGTAGTAGTAGTAGTAGAAAGATTTATTTAGCACATTTGGCTACATAAACAGAATAATTGTAAACAACTTAGAACTAGTAAATTCAAGCCATATGTACATATGTACATTGTTTTTTTCCGATTAACAAGGCTTTCGTTTTACTTGCATTTAATTTTAGTCTGTTAGATGCTAACCATTTTGAGACAAGCTTCAAGTCTTCATTTATATATGAGAGATACCAGACTGAATATTTTTAGTACTTATATAAATCATAGTGTCATCGGCGAAAATCTGAATTTTGCATTTTTTGACTATGGCAGGTAAATCATTTATGTATAAAATAAAAAGAAGTGGTCCCAAGATACTGCCCTGTGGAACACCCAACGTATTTTCAATTTTTGATGAAATAGTGTCATTAACTTTTGTAACTTGCATCCTTTTAGACAAATAATTTCTAAACCAATCTAAAACACTTCCTGTTATACCATATGCCTGAAGGCAGCAGGAAATTTACCTAACAAAATATCTCTATCAATCGTTTCAAATGCCCTCTTCAAATCTAAAAATACGGCTATGACAACTTCTTCTGAGTCTATGGCTCTTCTCCAATTCTCAGTTACCAACTGAGTGTGGGACAAAAATTATCCATTGCGTCATCCCCCAAATACATTTAACGCCCCAAAGTTTCCTTTTGGCACTTTATCGCGCGTTATCGCCCACTTTGAAAAACACTGCACTAATCGATATTTGGCCTGAATGACGTATCTGACGTCTAGGATTCCCTCGTACCCCTTTTCTTATTTCTCTCACCTTTACATTTCCAAGCTCATTCTGAACGTATAGAAGTTCACAATTAACTGATAAGTCGTTAATTCATCAGGTACAATGTTCTGGCCATTGCATCGATTAGAGGGAACATCAACACCAAAATATCATAAAATAACTATAAGAGTTTTTCGTAGTACAAAGTTTGAATTGTGGCGACAAATTCACTTGAAGACCTTTATTCGACTACGCTATGCGCTGTAAGGAACATTAAGACTACATTTTCTTCAAAACCGTAATAAAATTACCCAAGTAGTAGTGCTTAAATAGGTGGTCAATGAAAGTGACCTTTTAATTAAGCCGGGTACGCGTTATGCTAAGCTTACCTTTCATCAATTCCAGAAAATTCGAATCCTTGTACACATTCCTGTTCTATCCTGTCTTGTGTAACCACATCAGCGTTGATTTTTCCTGTAGCAGTCATAACGTCCCTAAAGTTCAGTGTCGCATAACAAACCTAAAAATAGAAAATAAGTAACATGACAGTTCTATTGGAGCAATTTTCTGTTCTTCAGGCAGATAAAATTCACAGCTCGCGGTATCTCAGATGATTTTTTTTTCATCAGTGTGTGGCAGTCGCGTATATGAGTCTCACTGCCTTCCCACTCCTCCCAACCGGACGATACAAAATACTGACAATAAGTAATTCGGATGTTTAAAGTTTGGGAATTGGGATGCATTAAATTTGAAGGGTACCAGGCCTCGAGTTTTGACATTATAATGTATTTGTAGTCCTCCAAATGAAGAACGACTGGAGGCATAGGTCCAAAAAATTACTCAAAAACGTTGTGTTATTTCTATGTTTATATTTCTATATCTTATTTATCAAAAAATTCATTTAACGATATTATGCCAATAATCTTATAAACTCGCAGATAATTGATTCAGACACTTGTTTTGAATGCTTTAATAGCTATTTATAAAACCAGCGTATCGAGAGATATATGTTTATTTTGTGTTGGGGCACAAAAATATACGAAAAAACGTTACTATACATCTTAAAAAGAGGAAAATGAACTTTTGCGATTTTCCCAGCGAGATAGATGGAATTTTATTTCTTTAAATACTATTCCAACACCAATTAAAATAAACTGAAACAACTTTTCGCTATACAAGGCTCAAAAGTAAAATCTTATGTGCCTTCCTCGGAAAAGCACACTGACGCTGTTTTTACACTGTTTATTTGATGAATAACTTATTTACGATATTTTCAAAACCCACCAAGAAAAGTAACTGAAGCTTTATTGTTCTCATTCTACAAGGTAAAGGTAAAAGACATTAATGTATATTATCTCGGAAAAGCACTAAATGCTTTTTACATTTATTTCAATATGTCTCGTGGATCACCACTCCAAAATTATGAAAAACATCGAAATTAAGAGTAAGACGTCATCGAATTGGCAATTTAATGCATACATATTTTTACGTTTTGTTAATCATCCAAGTGTACGAAAACCACGAAATTCGCACGTACGATCACCATGATTTTCAGGGATTATTTCCGTAAATATGTATAAAGTTAAAAATTTGAAAGTCCGTTACACTTTTTAGCCCTATAACCTGTTTAACTTTCCATGTCAAGTTTCCACAGGTACGTTTCACGGACATAATGAAGCATATCAGTGACCATTTCAACCGAGGACCATCGTTCATCATCATCAAGATATCATTGTAATGAGAGTTCTCAACCTTCTACACGTATCTACTTGCTAATTTAAGCTACGGGGGTTAGGCTTTGAAACCTCTCACCCTGACTACTATCTATGCCCGTAGTTGGTGACTGAACTGAACATCCATAAATGCCGTCAATTTCGAACAAAAATCGATGTTTTAAGCACATTACAAAAATACTTACATAAGCCATAACTTTCTCAGCTGGTGCTTTCTTCGTATGATCTAAAGGTCCCTCCAGCCACTTCAAGCTTGACAAGTCTCCTCTGAGAGTGACGTTTACGAAGAAGTGCTCGTTTTCAGTTTCTTCGGTGTTAGCTAAAAGCAAGTGTCGGTAAGTTCCCCACTTGCCTTCTTTTAAGATATTCACAGCCATGTCCTTGCTCAACTGATTAATGAAGAATGGATCATTTGAGTCAAATGTTTTGTCAGTATCCATTAGAAATAGACCCTTCACGTTACGGCTCTCTGGCTCCCTGTGAAAAAAAATAAAAAAGGGTTTTCCAAAAAATTATATAATAATGGGTGATTTTTTAAGAGGTATAGGATTTGATTTTCAAAAAAAAAACACAAAAAATTTGAAAAAACGAATAAATCTTTATTTAAGTCGATAGCACGGTCGATATAATTTAATGTTTAAAGATTATTTCATGTAAATGTTGACCGCGGCTCCGCTTTAGATGGCCCATGCGCCAAGGTCTAATTTTGGCACACTCTCTCCAACATATCGGCCGGTATCTCACGAATAAATGCTTCAATATTGGCTTCCAGTGCGTCAATCGTTGCTGGTCTATCCCTGTAGACATTAGCCTTAACATGGCCCCACAAGAAACAGTCCAACGGCGTTGAATCACACGATCTAGGCGGCCAATTGACTGGCCCCAAACGTGAGATAAACTGTTCACCCGACTCGTCTCTCAATAGGGCCATTGGTTCGTGTGCGGTGTGGCATGTGGCACCGTCTTGTTGAAACCACATGTCAACCAAGTCCAGCTCTTCCATTTTGGGCAAAAAAAAGTTTGTTATCATCGCACGGTAGCGCTCGCCATTCACAGTTACGTTCCGGCCATTGTGGTCTTTGAAGAAGTACGGCCCGATGATGCCACCGGCCCATAATCCACACCACAGTGATTTTTTTGGGATGCATTGGTAGCTCTTGCAATGCTTCTGGCTGGTCTTCACTCCAGCAGCTATTTTGCTTGTTAACGTACCCATTCAACCAGAAATGAGCTTCGTCGCTGAACACAATTTTTCGATAAAAATGTCTATCTTCCTCCAACTTTGCCAGCGCCCATTCACCAAATTGGAAACGTTGTGGGAGGTCGTATGGCTTCAATTCTTGCACCAGCTGTATCTTATAAGGTTTTACACCCAAATCCTGTCGCAAAATTTTCCACGTACTGGAGTAACAGAGGCCCAATTGCTGCGAACGCCGGCGAATCGACATTTCACGGTCATCACTAACACTGGCGGATACAGCCGCAATATTTTCTTCAGTCCTCACTCTACGTCTGCGTGTTGGTGGTTTAATGTCCAATAATGTGAACTGGGTTCGAAATTTAGTCACAACCTCCCGAATAGCTCCCTCAGTAGGCCGACCAAATTGCCCATAAATTGGAAGCAGTGCTCGATGCACTCTCTTAACCGAGCATGAATTTTGATAGTCAAATTCAATAATTTGCAAGCGTTGTTCGTTCGTAAGTCGATTCATGGTTAAATTATAGACTAAACCGAACAAGTTTGACAATGACACAAGACACGATTCACGCGTCATCTGTCAAAAACAGTGTTGCCAAAAAGATACCAGCAAAAAAATCACCCATTATAAGTGTATGTGTAAGTCTCTTTTATTGAAAGTCCTGTTTATACCATTATCTACGGAAGTTTATATTGTTCAAACGTCCGTCGCAGCTTCTCACAGTGGCTCGGATTCAAGTGTAATTTTGAAATTTTAATGGCTCTACTGCATAGACGTTCAAGTCGATTTGACCAATGGCTTAGATTCTATTATGTTTAGCACGTAGCATCTCGTTTGCAGCCTTACTCGGTCTTTACAAGGACCTATCCCAGAATCGTTCTAATTCGTCGGACTCCATTGTCTGGCCGAATCAAAATCACACAAATATTTAGATTTCTGTTTATTGAACGGCTTTAAATTGACCCCCTCTAAGTTTTATGTGGTCTAGTATGGAGTTTTTCATGTAACATTTTATTTTGTATATACTCGATATCAGAAAAATGCTATCGGATAGTGTTGTATTTTTTTAATTGGAATACTCAGTACATTTTAAGGGAAAATGGTAGCGCCTATGATTCAGAATATATATGGTTTATCATTCTCAGTTTCATTAGTTTGGCCAAAAATGTATGTATGCCACTTACTCATGTGTATCTGAGTTATGATAAAAATTTCAAAATGATTGCACTGCTTTAAAGCCCTTTGACCTTTAATAATGTGTGGATGCACCCTGATGTGCTACGCATTCTCCAACGCGCCTAGGCATGCTTCTGATCAGGAGGTCAATGTCCTCCTGTGGTATCTCATTCCGGGCAACCACCAACTCTTCTCGAAGTGCTTCTAGAGTCTGAGGAGGACGTTGCAAATTGAGCAATCTCCTACCCATCATATCCCACACGTGCTCAATTGGGGATATGTCGGGAGATCTTGGTGGCCATGGTAACAATGTGACATCATTATGTTGAAAGAAGTCTATTATGACTCTTGCAACATGTGGTCGGGCATTATCTTGCTGGAAAGTTGGATCTGCCAGGGTGTCAAGATAGGGTAAAAGTTGGGGTTCTAGAACTTCGTGGATATAACGCTGCGTGTTCATGTTACCTCTGATGAAGATTAAAGGTGACCTGGAACCATAAGCTATAGCACCCCAAACCATAACTCCAACAGTGTGATGAACATGTCTTTCAACAAAAAACTGTGGATTCCTCCTTTCACCACGTCGCCTTCTAACACTGGCACGACCATCGTGCATGCCTAAACAAAATCGAGACTCGTCACTAAAGACAATACTGTTCCATTCCTGATCCCAGAGTGACCGTTGTCTGCACCACTCAAGGCGATTACGTCGGTGTTCTTGAGTTAAAGGGGGACCCAGTGTGGCCGGTATGAAAACAAGCCAAAACTTCTCATTCGTCGGTAAACACTTCGCATGCCAATAGGTCTTCCGTGTTCTGCAAACCATTCATTTGCAATGGACCTGGTAGTGGAGAAACGGTCCCTTAAGGCCAATAATCTTAGGCGGCGATCTTCACGGTCTGTTGTTCTACGGCGGCGTCCAGTGCCCCTTGCTCTTTGCGTACGGCCTTCTCGAAGCCATGGCTGACAACACCTAACCACAGTGTCTACACTTCTTTGCACTCTAACTGCAATTGCCCGAAAAGAAAGGCCAGCTTCCCGAAGTCCCACTATACGGCCCCTATCAAACTCACTAAGTTGACGAAATCGTCCAGGTCTCCGTACTCTAGGCATCGTAACCGATCGTAAAGGATGTCAAGAACCAAAATCCTCCAACGTTGATTCTTTACTGCGGCTGAAATATTCATTTTTAGAGCGTTAGTGAATTAAAAAAAGCAGTATAAAAACCGGAAAATATTTCGAACAATATTTGATGTATAACAGTGAAAATTGGTGTGCAAGGGTTTTTTGACACGACAAAACGAACCGTTGACATAGTTTTACTATAGCCGCTAGAGGGCGCTCCCTACTGTACCTGTAGTGTATTAAAATGACCGAAAAATTTTTCTTAGTGCAATTTTTTGCTTTTTGAATAAAAAAACTGATTCTTCGCACTTTTCAACATAAAAAAGCTCTCTTGTAAATTTTCGTTATAGTTAGCCGTTTTTGAGATATTTCGATTTTTAAGGTTCGATGCATTTTTAATTATTTATGATAAAATAAAGTTAAAGTCAGTATCTCGATAATTTTTAGTAAAATATTTTTGAAATTGAAACCAGAATAAGGTTAAACGTCAATTAGTTGACAGTTAGTTTTGTTGTCTGTTGAAACCTGAAACGTTTTTTTGCAATTGTGAATGCACGAAATTTCGAAATTTCTTTTACCTGTTTTTTTTTGTAAGTTTTATAAAAATGCCATTTTTATTCTCCAATCAAGAGTTAGCGGATATTCATTTTGTGTATGGCTTTGTAAAAGGAAACGCAGCAGAAGCAGCCAGAGAATACGCACGAAGATTTCCAAACAGACGACATCCAACGCGCTCAGTATTTGTAAGAGTGTATCGCCAAATAATTGAAAATGGTTTTGGAAATCTCCAAAGGGATCAAAACATAAATGTTCGTCAACGCAGATTTACCCGTATGATTCTGCGTGAGTTTGATAGAGATCCGACCACAAGTGTTAGGAGAGTTTCTGGTGCCTTGGTAATTTCAGCAAGCCATGTTCACCGTGTTCTTAGAAATGATCATATAGGTCCTTACCAATTGCATCCTGTGCAAGGACTACAGCCAGGGGACGGAGAACGAAGAATCACATTTTGTCAGTGGATTCTTGATAGAACTGATAATAATAGGGAGTTTTTAAGTAACGTTTTATGGACCGATGAGTCATGCTTCACTAGACGTGGAGTGGTAAATTTTCATAATCAACATATTTGGTCGCATGAAAATCCGCATGCAGTTCGGGAAAGAAATTTTCAGCATGAATTTAGTGTGAACGTGTGGATTGGTATCTAACGTAATCGACTATTTGGACCCTACCTTTTGCCTGCAAGGTTAAATGCTGCGACCTTCTTGGAATTTTTAATGGCTGAACATGCAAATATGTGGGATGATGTTATGTTAGATTTAAGAAGATTGGCCTGGTTCCAGCTTGATGGTTGTCCAGCTCATTATTCGAGAATAGTTAGAAACTGGCTGGACGAAAATTATCCAGAAAGATGGATCGGCCGTGGAGGACCAGTCGCCTGGCCTCCACGATCCCCTGACCTAAATCCATTAGATTTCTTTGTGTGGGGATTTCTAAAAGAAAAAGTGTACCAGACTCCCGTAACCACAAGAGATATGCTAATAGACAGATTCAGGCATGCATGTGATGAAATAAGGCCTTATTTGAATAGTGCTAAACAAATTAATATTCCGTTTTTTTGTGTTTATTTGGAGTTAGGAATTATTGCTGTGTTTAAAAACACAATCTAAATGATCATCTTAATTACTTGTAATGCCCAAATCGAAAATATACTATTTTCCCATAAATAATTAAAAATGCATCGAACCTTAAAAATCGAAATATCTCAAAAACAGCTAACTACACAAGAGAGCTTTTTTATGTTGAAAAATGCGAAGAATTAGTTTTTTATCAAAAAAGCAAAAAATTGCACTAAGAAATTTTTTTCGGTCATCTTAATATACTACAGGTACAGTAGAGAGCGCTCTCTAGCGGCTACAGTAAAACTATGCCCATGGTTCGTTTTGTCGTACCAAAAAACCCTTGTATACCAATTTTCACTGTTATACATCAAATATTGTTCAAAATATTTAAAAAAACTTAGAAAGTAAATTTAAACACCCTGTAGTTCGGAAGCCACGCGTTTTTCGACCCATGTTTATATAGACCTTATGCATTAATTTTAAAAGTTCTATCGAATCTTAAAGTTATGCAACAATAAACTGAAACACCCTGTATATGACCTTGTTTTCCAGAATGCCATTAAAAAAGTTAAAGGGGATCAATTTATAACTACGTACACGTACCACAGTGGTTTTCGAAACGTCGTACAATTAACAGAAATTTAAATATACTGCGAAAGGTTGGGAAATCTGGAAACTGGAGATACTACTGACCAAAATATGTGAATTGACTCAAATATACCTCAGACCAAAAATTGAAAGTTACAATTTTATTTATTATTTTTCCTTATTGCTTGAGAAGTATTTCAGATTTTGGCATAGACCTCGGTATAGGGAGGTTTTCTAGAATGAGAAACAAGAATCCGTTATTTTTTATGCCCAAACTTCTAGATGGCGCCACTTACAGCACTATTTCGGTAAATAAGTTATCATAACTTTTTTGTGCTACCCTGTATACAACAACTGACCAAAAAATCTTATTTTCTCGTATTTCCAAAATAAAAAAGGTTTACTTGTTAGAAGTGTCTAAAGCTAATAGTTTTCGAGATATTTGTTTTTAAAAGTTCCAATGCATTATTTTTACCATGATGATACATTTTTATAACATAATAATCAAGTTACTTTGGATGATACTGAGTATATGTTTATTAACACCACAAAATAAGTTTCGTTCTAATTCCGCGCAATTAGTTATTTTGATTTCACTCCCTCTAAAAACTACAAGCGTACAATTAATTGTCAACATATTATTTCTCCATAATTTCCGGAAGGTGACACTTGCACTTGGTTACAAGCTATGGTATTGACACATGTTGCTCTCAAGTTTTAAAGCAATCTACCGGTTACTTTCTGACAGATCATATAACATCAACTTGGACTCTTATTAGAATCATGATATTCTCTAGTATTGTTTAAATTCTCATCAAAGACAAGTTTATTTAAATTTTTGTGGAATTGGTCGTATGAAACTAGGAAATTTGAACAATTTCCACCCTTCCATTTTAGAAATGGTTTCAAAAACTAACTGTATGAAGCTTTTTAATCACTTAGCAAGAAAGCTGATAAATTACAGTTTCTGTCGATTTCATTGCTAGTAGGCGTGTGCGGTGAGGTGGATTTTTTTTACCGTTGACTCTCGCGCTGGTAATACTTCAATCAAATGTGTCGAGATCCTCCCCGATAAGAAATTTGTAAGCTACTAACCGCCGTAGGCAGTTCACCAGTCCCATAATTCCACTCAAAGGTTCCTTTTCAGCATACAATACGATATCCTCGTAGGGCTTTAATTTGATCAGCTTCTGCAGTTTTTCAACCCAAGGGAAGGTATCTGTATCAGTTATTTGCACAATGTTCATCGGTTTTTCTTTAGGTTGCTTCTTGAAGAACACTAAACTCTCTGTCGGTGTTCTATGGAAGGTGCAGATGACTATGCCTGGATTTGAGATGGTTGAAAGATCGAAGTTAGCAGGTTCTCTGCTCATAACGTAACCGTTTTCGGCTACTGATACTAGAATGGTGTTCATGTCCTGAAAAAACAACATATTTATGAAAAGCAAAAGAGAAATGCAATTACTTTTACAATGAGATTTCATATGAACTTCTCCTAAAAGATGCAGGACCTCCAGACGTGTGGGAAGGAGGATAAGAAACATGCATGGTTTCTGGTACCAAAACCAGTAACAATAAATCAATAAAAAATAGGATATCGATTTTTCCATTTCGTTGTCCGACTGGAAGCTAGCGACTTTTAGGATGTCTATATCACTACCACATAGGTATTTGTACTTATGATACGTATTCCTATATTATTTGATAATACCGTTATTTCTATTTGCTACCGGATCAGATCTATGTTGTCATTTATTTACATGTTTTATAATCATTTCAGCGACATCGAGAACATTATAGAAACTTGTCTGATGGCTTGAGTTCAATGTGTACAAGAGAAAAGCGCGAGAAGTGTGTATGAACACATTACAAAGAGAGAGAAGCCGGCTGTAGAGCGGATATAATCACCACATTGCCTAGCAACAGTGACGCAGAAGGCCGTGCAATCTGCCGCGTCGCCAATATGTTAACCAGAAAATGATAGGTTACTATCAAACCCGAGAAGGTGGTCTGTTCAAACATTTAATTTAATCTTTTGTTTTCATTTTGATTGGAATCATTTATTTCAATTGTGATGCGACTTATTGTTTTAATTTATTTCAGAATTATCCCATGGTGATAAAATCACATATCCTGACAACGAGCGGTCGCAAAATGTAACAAATACCACTACGTAATACAAATTATCACTGCCTGCGAGTACGCAGATGAAAAGCATTTCTAAGCAGGACGACACTTCCTAATGAGCGCTAGATGGGTACTGACGAATCTCGCTCCACTATGATCATGGAAGTGGAAACATTTCCTTGGAATGACAAGATGCAGTGTTATCAAACTAACCAATGATGCAGAGTTGCAGAATTTGTGGCAATCCTGACCTTTGATTTCGACCTAAAATAAAGCGCTGTTAGGACCGATCCGGAATTGATCGTAAAAATTCACAATTCAAAAATGTGTACGCTCAAAATAAAACAATTACTATTCGTCGTTTATTTGTCAGGGCGGTCCGTAGGAACTTTTGTCATTAGTCTCTGGTTGCCCAGAAACCAGACAATATCAAAGGAAAAGAGAAAGGGAAAGAGAATAAAAAAGGAGAAGATCAAAGAAAAAAGAAGTGTTTAGTTTAAGAGGAAACCATTAGGCGTTTTGACTTCGTATACGGATCAATTTTGAGGTGAACTAAACAAAGTTTGATTCGGTTTTGTTAGAGTGTAATTTTAAGTTTACCAAAAACAGTTATTTGGGCATAGAGGATAATCTAACCCATATTTTCAACATGCATCTTAATTCCACGGACTGGTGTAACATATTGGCAACGCGGCAGACTGAAACGTCTGCGTTGCTAAACAACGCGGTGATGAGCTTCGTTATCCAGCGGGCGTCTATCTCTTTCTACCATGAGTTTTAGGTAGATGGCGCGCAAGTAAGATAGTACTGCATCTGTGGCCTCCGAAATAATTGACCCAAAAATTGAGTTTACAAATAGGTTTAATCGAAAAGTTGCGGTGCATCTTAAAGTTTTTACAATATCCCACAAAAATTGTGAAGAAATAAGTGCCTGAAACTACTGAAACAGTGAAAATCTTCATTATTCCTGAGAACTGTCAATAGCAACTAGTTAGTCGCCATTATGGGGTTATCGACAACCGATATGCGCGAAATCAAGTCAACAATCATCAATACCTTCAACGAAAAATTTTTACAAGAAATAGTGAGTAAAGTCGTACAACTGGTAGGAAAGCAGTTTGAAGAAAGACTTAACAGGAACGAGGAGGAAATACAGACTCTTTGTGACAGGGTCGAGAATTTGGAAAGGGATAATAGACGTCTTATCATGAAAATGGACGATCAAGAGCAAATGGAGAGATCCCAAAATGTCAGAATATTTGGGCTGAAGGAAGAGGAAGCGGAAGATTTGGGTAATGTTATAGTGGATCTGTTTCAAAACAAACTGAAAGTAAACATACAAGAAAAAGATATAGTCAAATACCATCGCATACCAAACAAAAACTCAAATAACAGTACGTCGGCCGTGCTGGTACGGTTCACCTCCAGCGATTCACGGGCATCGGTTTTGAAAAATCGAAAACTGTTGAAAAACACCGGGATTCGTATAAAAGAAGATCTGACTAAATCGCGACTGAAGTTATTTAAAAGATGTATTGATTTGTTTACGAAAAACAATGCGTGGATTCTAAGAGGAAATATTTACGTAAAACAAGACAATGAAGTTCATCGAATCGCCAGTGATGAGGACCTACACAAAATTAATGTTTAAGAGGTTTTTTTTTGTAAGGTTTTCAATAAACAATGCAGTGTTGTGAGGTATGTGGGGGGACGGGTGCTGCAGCATTCTAACATGAAGGTAACATTACTGTAGATGTTTTCAAAGTAGGCAGTGTTAGACGTTATTTCTAGTCGTAAAAAATGTATTAGTATTAACTACTTTGAATGTGGCTTAATCAGTACTCGTCTTTTCGCCTATTATTATTTTTCTTCTTACACTTTTAGGTTAAAAAAATAAGAAATAATTGTTTAATAATAATTAGTACGAATCACAATGTTGTTATGCAATAATTTTAAACGAATTTATTAGTCCATACACATATACTTTGCCAATTTACAGTAATTTTATGGACACTAAATAAAATAAAAAAGCCTAATTTCAAAATACATGTCAAGAATAATTAAATTAAGGGAATAAATAATGAATTTCTGTTTCATTTGTATACTCGTTGTTTTTTGGAAAAACCTCAAAAGATGTGGCAGTGTTTTCAGTTTTTATTTTTCGCAGCAAGTTATGGACTTAATTCTGTTAATTTTTCGGAAAAACATCAATTGTGTCTCTGGACCTGCTAATGCCACAGATAACGCATTGCTGTGAGGGTATGTATGCAAGTACGCATGTATACTTAAGAATGGCAATTATTTTTAGGTTGTTAGGTTTAGTCTCGTTTACAAAATTAAATAAGAACAAAATTGTAATAGTGTTACATAGAGGTTATATGTTGACGCGGGGGCATTGGGATGACGGGGATTGGTCTTCGGGGACTGGCAATAGTGAGGAAATAAGGGATAATGGATAATGATAACATGAGTCAGCGAGTGGAGAGTGTTAATGATGAATCAATATTTGATAGTCCACATCAAAACCATTTCACAGTCGGACATCTAAATATCAGATCCATAAGTTCTGGATTTGACGAGTTCTGTAATTATATGACAGAATACAATTTTGATATTTTTGGAGTTTCTGAAACATGGCTCAATCCAACTTTAAGAAGTGAGAGTTTTTGCTTGCCTGGGTACAAATTTATAAGGAATGATAGGCAGGGTCGAGGAGGAGGGGTAGCTTTATACATAAAAAGCGGGTTGAAATATTCAAGGGTAAATGTGGAAATTAACTGTGCAGAAACCATAGGTATAGAATTTAAGATAGGTGGAAAAATTTATCTTTTAGTTAATAGTTATCGTTCGCCTTCTGAGAGTGTCACTTATTTTTTAGACTCCTTAGAAAATTTTATCGGTTTTGTCAGTGTCAAATATGATTATTTATTACTGATAGGAGATCTAAATATTAACATTTTAAATAATTCTGCATACACAAATCGCCTCAAAAATATAATTCATTGTTTTAACTTATCACAAAGGATCAGTGAGCCAACAAGATTCAATTTTGCCACAAGAGAGGCTAGCCTCATTGATATAATCTGTGCTAGTGAGGATCTTATCTCTATCGATTCTAAATCATTGGCAGTTTCTCAAAATCTCTCAGATCATAACTTAATTTACTCAGCCTTTCGAAAGTCAAGAATAAATAAATCACAAAAGACTATTAAATATAGAGACTACAATAATATAGATAGAGAATCTTTCTTAAATGAAGAGTTTCTACTTGGGTGGGAGGATATTTACTATATAAACCAAATCGACCGAAAAATAGAAGTCTTTAATATAAATATAGTAACTGTTCTGAATAATCATGCTCCAATAAAAACAAAACAAATAACCGAAAAACCTCATAAAAAATTTCAAAAATCAAAATCACAGGCTCATTTTGAATATTATAAACAACTAAGGAACTATACAAAGCATGCAATTATCCAAGAAAAAAAATACATTCTTTAACTTACTCTCAACAAAGAAAGGTAAGGAATTTTGGGACACTACCAAAAAGCTCAACATAACATGCAAGAAAACTCACTCAACTATACCCGAACACTTACAAGATGTAAATGACATACACAATTACTTCCAGCAGACCGACAATTTACCAGACACTGCTTCCCAAGAATTAATCAATTTTTACAAAAACAATGTAAACATTAACGATTCTCTTAGCTTCCAACTGTTAGATAGGGCCAGTCTAATTAAAATTGTAACTAATATCTCATCAAATGCCATTGGAGAGGATGGTTTCTCTATGAGAGACCTAAAGTTATGTATCCCATTTTGTACGAATGCCTTGCTGAATATAATCAACACATGTATTTTGGGGGGATTATTTCCAGAAATATGGAAGAAAGCTATTGTTAAACCCTTACTAAAAATAGCAGAACCTAAAGAATTTACAGACTTGAGGCCTATTAGCATATTACCCGCTACATCCAAAATTTTAGAAAGGCATATTTATAATCAAATTAGATTTTTTTGTGACACAAACGATATCATACCAGACAGTCAATCCGGTTTTAGAAAAAACTTTAGCACAAGTACATCATTAGTTAATATCTTGGATGATATCAGACATCATCAAGAACAAAAAAATAGTACGTGCATGGTTCTTCTCGACTTTAGTAAAGCGTTCGACACTCTGAATCATGAAATGTTACTAGCTAAGTTACATTACCAGGGGTTTTCGCAGAACTCCGTAAATCTAATAAAAACATACTTAAGCAACCGTTCAAACTGTGTTATGTTAGCAAATGATTCTGCTATTTACAAAACCGATTTTAAACCTATAAAAAGAGGAGTTCCTCAAGGTTCAATTTTATCTCCTTTGCTCTTTTCAATCTACATATCTGACATGGTCAAATCGGTAAAATTCGCAAAGATAAAACAATATGCAGATGACTCACAAATATATCTCCCTGTCAATAAAACCACAATCCATATTGCACAACAACAACTAAATTCAGATCTCCAAAGAATTGACAGATTTGCAAAGCATCACAATCTTAAACTAAACCCCTCAAAATCGCAAGTAATGGTTATGAATAAAAACAGTACTGAAAGAGAACATTTTGAACAAAATTTAGTAATTTCTATTATCAATGACAGAATCCCCATAGTTCAGGAGGCAAAAAATCTAGGCATTATATTTAATAGCTCGCTTGGCTTCGGCAGTCATATAAAAAACAGAACAAATTTAGCTTACATGCGACTAAAAAATATAAACAAATTAAAAAAAACATTTATCAGTCAAACAAAAATATTATTTGTGTAATACCTTACTTTTATCACTTTTTGACTATGGAGATGTCGTCTATGGTGATTCGCTATCGTCGCGAACCAAAAAATGCATACAAAAAGTTCAAAATAGTTGCATGAGATTTGCATTTGGAATTCCATATCGAAACCATATCACTCCTTATCTGAATAACTACAACATATTAAACATGACGAATCGCAGAAAATATCACATGTATTCTTTTATCTATAGGATTATAAAAACAGGTCAACCGCTCTATTTAAGAGAAAGATTTGTGCCTTTGCGTAGTGCCCAGAGAAGTAGAAATAATCTCAATTTTATCGTACCTAGGCATAGAACGCGTTCCTTCCGACAATCGTTTGCCTATGTGGCGGTTCACTTATGGAATAATTTACCAACTTCAGTTAAAAGCTCATCGTCAAAAACATTCTCAAAACTGACAAAAACGTTGTTACAGAATTACCAGCTACTTTAGCAGCGTTTGTGTGAGCAAAAATATCGTTTTTACATTCCTACTCGATGACAGGTTGTATAGATTTGTTTTTCGCGTCCGTTGCCAGCTCCCGGGGGTTCTATCTTCGTTTTTGCCTTTTTTGTGTTTCACCGCCTCTTTATTGTATTTTTTATTTTGTTTAAGAACTTTTAGGGTATTCAGGGCTTTCTCGCATGGACTCTTTGTATTAGAGGGTCCAATGTATCGGTTTTATAATCGAGAGACTGTCCTTTTTCGTCATTACCCTATATGTAGAATTTCTTTTGTTTATGATGTTTATTCATGACGAAATAAATATTTTGAATTTGAATTTGAATATGTGTGTATACACATTGAACTCAAGCTGTCAGTCAAATTTGGTTTTCATTGTATACGTTGGAATTGGGTGGAGGTCAAAAACAAATTAACCGAAAAATGCATTGACAAAAACTACAAGCATCTGCTCTGATATGCCTAAAAATCTTCTGCATTAATCTCAAAACGGGTACCAGAATTTCCATTCTTCTTTGGCAGTATTACCGGATTGAGCATAAGAAAACAACTAATGTACCTATTCGTTAAAAAAATAACACTCAAAATAATGCGAAGATATGTACTTTACCTCAGGTTGAGATCTGGTGAATAACTTCGACGCTACAACGAGCAAACAGTCCTTTTCCGTGGTAACATTCTTATCTTCTACTGGTATCGGCCCATTTGCCCCTTCTTCAATCGGAGTTTTGCTTAGAATCTTCATGATAGGCGCAATCAGTGGCTGATCCTCTAGCACCGTATGTGCTATGGGAGTCACCAGTCCCGTATCTTTCTCAGTGTGAACATCTATGACCTCAACTGCTTTGATCTTGAACATCAAGGTGTTTTCTAAGATGATCTGAAGGTTGACTCTGACCGACTGCTGTAGGTCCAAAGTAGATGTAATGTTCGGGACGAATTCGTACTTCTCAAGCACTGGAACGCCGAGGTCTTTGCGTCTTGGAATGCTGCTTGCCAACAGACCTTTGATGGCTACGTCGCCACATCTAGAATACAGAAAGAAATCTAATAAGTAGAGAAACTACTATATATATTATATCACTCAGCAAATTATACATCCATACAACTTGGATGTGACAAGTATGCCCAGGCTCTCTCCAAAAGCTCTTCTGTGACCTGGCCTTAACGAAAGTCAGTAAGAGATCGCAAGCCCTACATATATACGCAGATTGTTAATTGTTAATGTTTTTTTTATACTGATGCAGCCGCACAGGGAGAAGCCGAAATACCGGGGCACTGCAATTGCTATAAGGGGCTTAAAGACACCTTGTTCATCCGATTCTTGAACTCCCAAGGGCAGCAGAACTGGCAGGTTATTATAAAATTTCGTCACCCTAGGTACAAGGGAGCGGCTGAACCGGCCAGTTGTGAATGTACGAAATTCTACAGGGTTAGGCAGGAAGGGTTTGTCTAGCTGGCTCAACCCGCGAACAGCATCTAGTGTGGTCGGGCTGGCAGCACCTTAAACATGTGACCAGTACTCAAGCCCTACCTGCGCCTTGCACAGAGTGGTGAGGATATGTGCACAAAAGTACTTCTTAGCCCTGAACAAACAGATTAACTTTTTCCCAGCAGATGTTGCAATAGACGAGATGTTTTTGTACCAAGTCAAGTCGTCTGAGATATCGACCCCAACCAACCGAAATAAATGCCTCTTTGGCAGAGCTCGGCCATCCATTAAAACCGGATGTGCGCTAGGGCATTTGTTAGTCAAGGTTCATTATACTGTGTTGTGGAAGCGTTAAATTATATTAGATTATTGCGCTCCCAAGCAGTGGTAACTTCCAGATCTCTCGTCTGAGAAAAAGTTGCTACTAGTATAATTTTCTCAAGTTTATCAACAGAGATGGGCTTGTGTGTGGAGCTGTGAATCTGATTGATCGTGCAGAAGGGGATGTGATCGGTATGAAACAATATTGAAGCCCTGGGAAGCACCCGCATTGACATTGGGGGATGAAGGCGAGAATTTGTCAATTACAATGTATATCTTGCAGCTGAAGAGGAAGTCAACCACACATCTGCAAAGCTGCTGTGGAACGCCATATGACGGAAGTTTACATAAGGAGGGCGACACAGCTGACCGACAGCTTTCTTAAATGAAGAGCAGTAAGATGAACCTCTCAATATGACTGGATAAGTTTCCTCCACAGTTGTGTAACGTAAGCTAGGAGGTCTCCGGTTTGATCTCTGGTGCCGGTAATCATACTGCCTGTCGAGATACTCCAGAACTTGCAGATCACAAGTCTGTAGATGTAAGGGTTGTAGATCTTGGCGTTCCATCTATATTACGATTTTAACCTTGAAACTTGTTGTTTACGTAATACTATTAACAACATAGAAGCTCTAGTAGGAAAATATGGACCCATATCTGAACATTGTCTTCACCTCATCCGAATATCTAGTTGTATGTATTCACATATCATTGATACTTAGATATTATGTTACATAGGATCTCAGGCTATAAGAATCTAATTTACTACTTTCGAGATAATACCTTAAGCATATTTGGAGATATGTAGTTTTACCTGATGATATCTGTGTCCTTATCACAGAAGACCGGCAAGTTGGGTGTCTTTTCCACATTGATGTAATCCCTGTTGACCCACTCTAGATGTACCTTTCCAGGGATGACCATCTCTCTGATGTAGGTTGGAACGTACAGCAACCTGGTGTCTGTCTGCAGAATCTTCATCTGCAACATGTTGTCCAGGAAGGTGACCCAGTTGTCATCCCATTTGATGTGCGCCCGTGTAGCATCCACGTCACAGTCTTGCATTGCACGGAATCCTTTGCTGTTTGGGGCGATTAGCTTATTTATTTGACTATTTACAATTTTGGAGTGCTAGCAACCGTATCCAATATACACTCACTATGGTACTGAATTCTGAGTAATCATGTGTATAACGTACGAGAAAAATATGAGGGTTAGAAAAAAAATGTTGGATACGAAAGGTCCCTAATATGGAGTGGTTATGAATATAAAATCGTTAAGCTTGAAATTAAAAATGCCAGTACAAGACATATTTTCTCCAGAAACTGATTACAGGAGCTCTGTGTCCTTACTATTGAAGAATCTATACCTAAGTTGATTATAATGGTAATTGTAGAAGCTATTAGATAATTCGTATCTATAGCAAACATCAAGAGTTATTCTTGTATTTATTAAACAATGATATACTGAATCTTTTCATGATCGAGCTATAATTACTTTGTATAATTAACGTGTAAAGTTCAATTCGATTTGGGGGACTGCGTGTAGCAGAGGCGGAAGACAACTATAAAATATAGGAGTGATACAATGAAAGGCAGGGTTCTTGGTTTTTCGAAAATTTCTTTTTGCCTATTGGCCCCATTTGAGGTTATTTCAGTATGACAATTAAAAGTTAGTTTCTCATCAATATAGAACCCTAAAATCAAGTAATCCTGTTGTATTGCTCAATTTATATTTGTAGATATTATATTCTGTTGATATTTTTAGGCCCACATAGTATTTACCAAAGTACTTGAAAGAGTATTAAGATTAAGATTACTGATTATATTATAGATATGTAAGATTACTTGAAAAAATATCTCACTGTATACGGAATTGAAGTGGAAATACATTTTAAGCTGCAGAGTTAGCTAGTTAGTCCATCAGTAAAATTGCATTTCTCTGATTATGAGAACAGACCCGACATTGATGATATAAAATCGCTATCGGAGCAATTTAGAAGAGGAGGTCTTGGGACCGCTCTTATACTCGATTTTCATTCACGACGTCCCCCATCCTAGCGACTGTGAAGTCTACCTCTATGCCGACGACATCGCATTAGTAGCGCAGTCATCTTCTAGTGACATAGTTCATGACAGGCTGCTAGAAGCGGTGGACGAGATTTTAGAGTGGGCGAATCGGTGGCTAATCAAAATTAATTTTTCAACACAGGCACAGGCTATTTATTTTACAAAAAAGCGCGTTGGTGCCCCGTCAGAGATTACTGTGGATCATGTTTCAATACCATGGGCTAACAAAGCCAAATATTTAGGTCTTACACTGGACAAGGGTATGACTTGGCAGTCATACTATGTACAACTGAAAATTAAATTCCAAATTACGTTTCGGCAATTGCATCATCTTTTATGTAGAACCTCAAAATTGAGTTTGGTCAATAAGATTCGGATATATAAAACCATCATCAGACATGCAATAACCTAAGCGTGTGCGGCTTGGTGCTTTTTAGCTAAGTCATATATGCGTAAACTACAAGTTCTGCAGAGTAGAACTCTCAGAACAATAACTAATGCCCCATGGTATGTATCAAACGATACCCTCCATAGAGATCTTGACATCCCCTACCTTAGGGATTACATCATAGGTATGGCACAACGGCGCTACCAGCAAGCGGAATCGCACAGCAAACCTTTGTTGCGTAAAGCAGTGGATTACCCAGTCGAGGAGATACGCAAGCATTTCAGGCCGCGACTCGCACTGTGAACAAAATTAAAATCATGTTCCGACCTTTAAAAATTATAGTTTTTAAAAACCAAAGACCCAAAATTCAGTTCAGGACAAGTCAAAAATTTATATAGTACAATGTAACAGTTCTTAGATCTATCACACCTCAAATATTTACATAACACAATTCCTTTTCTTCCTCTTTTCGCTACTACTTCCTTCCTTTCTTTCTCCCTATCCCCCTTTCTCCTCAAACTTGTCTGGTTTCTGAGCCACCAGACCTGACAGACTGACGACAGACACTGACATTACAGTGACTATGACCTAAAGGCTAAGGTCCTCCGGACCGCCTTGAGAAGCAACGACGAGTAGACAGCGGCAACTTCTGTTATCAGTAGCTTTTCCAGATTCCCAGTTTGTACTCCGTTTATAACCCTTCTGTTCTGTCATAGTACTTAGACGTCACTGGGTCCCTTATTCGTCCCCGTCAGGGGTTCATCAAGGCTGGCATATCAGCCACCTCTAGCTACTGAATAAGTGGTGATGTGACCCAGTGGAGTATCTTCTACATTCATAGTAGGCCAAAGCTCCCCAGAACGGATTCCCTTATGGACAGAACAACTGGGCAGTCTGAAAAAAGCTTCTTTACTCTCTCATCTTTCTGTTCCTGCATAAAGATTCATTTTTATATTTTGAAAAAGCAGTATACCTAACTGAAGCTGCTGTCTGGATACCGACAGATAATATAACGCAACATCTAACGGATAGGTCGCGCCAAATGAATGATGTCACATATTTAAGGAAACTTTGTAGGTGTACTTTCTCATTCATTACTTTGATAAAAAATGTTCGTCCTCAACATTCTGTGATTAATTTCCTTTGCCGGTTATTTTATAGATCTCTCGAAATGACATCCTTCCAATAATCATAAAATGGTTCTGACGTTTGTCCTTGCGCGAAGCTAAGATGTTTTACTTACGTATAGTTATATCCTCTAAGCCTCAGCTCCTTATAAATGTCCTTGGTCTTAAGACCTCCAGGAGGTAGGGAAAATTCCACATCTTGCCTTTTCTTAACATACTCATCCAGCAATTTAATCCTGCCAGTAACCACAGGCACGTCTCCTTCAACGACCTCGAACTCGCCAGTACCTGTTTGGACGGTCACGTACATGACAACGTGACCTTTCGGGGGCATGCTGGTGGCCCTGTGGAAGCGGCAGTCCTCGAAGACCACAGTCATAACGCTCATTGGCAGTTCCTTGATGATGGAGAGGGTCTCCCAGGCGAGGAAGAGGTAGCCAGTTGCAGGGAATAGGTTTCGACCTAAACAAGTCAAGTTAAGTAGTGAGTACACAAGATACTATACAAAGTAGGCAAAAATTGAAGGGTTGATCCTTTTTTATATACAGAAGCATATATGGCATCGATCTGGCACAACACATTATAAGAGGAGTCCAGCAATACAGCAAAGGCTTTCACTTCGGTACTTAATCACGGCTTCCTCTTACTTATGTTTAACTGTTTAGAAAATTCCAGTTTACTGATATGGTCCCTTGAACTTACCATCGATGACATGTCCATCTATGAAAGACCACTGCTGATCGGAAAGTTGAATCATCACGCTCCTCTGTCCATCTTGAGCTTGAGTTTGAGCCTCCAAGTTGTACTCTGGTACGAACCATTCTCTCTTGTGATTCCAACGCACATAAGGTGATATCATCCTGGTTCCTCTGCTCACAGGAAACTGCACTGATGGATACAGGTGTTGCACCTGGGGTTGGTGACCATGAACGTACAAGCTATGAGAAAATAATCATAATTAACGTCTTTCTTTATTGGTAATAATATTACAGGAGGCAAAATTTAGATACTGTATCTATTCTATCACCTAACCCCCAAGAATTTCAATGATACCTCAGTATTATCGTCTCTGTATATTAGTCTAGTAAGATCCAAACTAGAATATGGCTCACTCATATGGAGGCCTATACAGGGTGACTTCGAAGTTGAGTCATTTATTTTAACAGTGTGTAGATCTGATCAAAAGAAATGTTTTTTTCCTTTACCATTTTTCTGGTAAAATTAAAGTAACAAAGTTATAGCCCTTTGGAAGTTTGAGTACCGCCCTGTCTCAATAATATCATGTGTTCGTGTTTGGCAACAACGGTTCATCGCATCGGAAACAAAAAAGCGAAAGAATTTGGAACGATGTTTTTACGATTACAATTCAGTTCAGTTATACATATAGTCAGTTTCAGTCGCGTGTGAATAGTGCGTGGCTCAAACGAAATAAAAAATGGCACATGTTTATGCGGATCGGTTTCCCAATCGAGTGCAACCAACCCCTCGTGCCTTTGTTAATGTAGTACAACGGGCTCGTGAATCAGGTGACTTAAGACCTCACAGGGGACCTCACGATCAAATACAGGTCCGCACTGAAATACTTGTCGGGAGGATACTTTATAAAACAAGGTAAAATTTTTTTTTAATTTTTTTTTTATTTTTACACACATATTTTGGTTTATCTTTCTTCTACAATCATTATCTGAAAATTAATGACTCAACTTCAAAGTCACCCTGTATATAGCCAATACATCGTTGCTATTGAAAAAGCACAAAAGAATTTTTTGAAATTCATAGCTTTTAAAATCGATTGTGTGTCCACAAAGAGGCTGTAGTTATCCTGAGCTACTACATGGATTTGATTATCAGTCTTTGGATACCCGTAGATATCAGTTATCTGTACTTCTCTTGTACAAGCTTTTCAATGGAAAAGTAGATTGTCTTGTTAGCTCAAGTGGTTCCTAGAATAACATCTAGACAATTCAATACCACAAACGCTCCGATTAATTTTATGTGCCGAAATGCCAATAAAATTTCAAGTGTATGTGATATTTTTCACTGCAGTGGCTGTGAATGAAAGAATAAATCTCGAGCCCATCTATGATGGATTTTAGTGAAGTTTTTAATGTTTCGTCTATTTCTGTTTTTTTCTTTTTGTTTTTCTAAGATATTTTCATTTTGTGCTGTAACTACCATGTAAGCTATACTACTGCTTTTTGCTCTGTAAATGGTATTCACTGATGGGCAATAAACGCATTATTATTATTATTAACAATGTGAGATGTATATAAACTGAAAGTTTGTTGAAAATTAATATATGTGTACAATAACGACAAAAAAAGTGTAATCAATGTAAAGGCATAAAGAAAACAAGGTCGGTGAATGTTACAAATTTCTGTTGATTTTTAGGAAGTGTAATATGTATATCACAAGAGGTTAAACAGTGATCAGTAATCATATCAGCATTAATGGTGCCACTCCTAAGACAACTTTCAGGCTAGCTCAAATAAATAGGATCTAAGAGAGAGAGTGACGATTCGGTTTTCCTAGTCGGTTAGTCGGTTCATATATATATATATATATATATATATATATATATATATATATATATATATATATATCTTGAGACGTGGTCATTGTCGTCTAGACCAGTTAGGTGAAAAATTAAAGCTTCCGCCTTTTGTTGTCACACATTTGTGTGTATTTTATATAATTTTGACCATTGTACCATCTATCCAGCTTTCACCATATTACTGGGTGGTTCCCTCATCCTGAACGTAAACAACAATTAGCAACATCCTCACATACTACTGTAAGTTAAGTCAATTTAAATTCATTTTACACTATTGTTGGTACTGTTATCAATGTAATTGCAGCTCCTGATGATGATGGCAAAGTCCATTGAAAGCTAGAGAGAATTAAAAAAAGTATAAAGAGTCCTCTTTGCTTAAATTTTGTCGAAGTACCCAACAAAAGGCGGAAGCTTTAATTTTTCATATATATAAATATATATACAGTAGCGACTTGATAATCAGGATCAATTAAAACTAGGTGCAATCCGGACTAACGAAAAATCCGGATTAGTGGGAATCGTAAGGAAAACAAGTTCTTGATATTACAAACATGTTTATTTCATAAAAAATGACAACATAGCTAAAATAGGCAAAAACAAAATAAAAAAATGACAAAAAATTTTGTTATTAAGAAAAAACTGTTATTTTTGTTTGCCTTTTATGTTCAGAATGCAACTTAATAACAGCTTCTTCTCTCAAGTCTTTTAAAGCAAGGATTGAGGTAAGTGCAATATTGTTGTCTTCTGCCCATTTAATCCCTGCTGTAAAATGCGCAATTGCCTATTTATGTTTAACTTTTGGTACAGTAAATTGGTTTCCATTTTGTGTTTCTATGTCACTTAGTGAATTTTCACAGTAGTCATCTTGAAATTCGTCTTGAAGAGCATGTTCTTCAGTTTCTTCCACCCACTCCAAGATTTCCCCTTCTGTAAATTATTCAGATGATGCTTTTTCTAGCATTGTTGAAATGTCCTCAATAATCTCCATTTGCTGCTTTATTTGTACGCGCAATAAGCTTAATGGTATTAAATCTTCCGGGTCATAATCTAAGTTTTCAGCTAACAACTTTTTCCAACACTGTTCTAAAGCAGTTGCTGACACTTTCGTCCATGCATTATGTAATAAGCAAACTGCGTCTTTTTAAAGATTTACTGAGGTCATTGTTTTCGTGCTCCATAGTACAAAAAATGTGAGCCAATAAACTTTTTCTATAAAATAATTTGGTTAATTTTATCGCATTTTGGTATAACGGCTGAATCAATACGGTACAGTTGGGCGGTAAAAACATTGTGATTATTTTACCATCTTCAGAAACCAATTCCTTTTCACTGCAGTGGCTAGGTGCGTTATCAATGAGAAGTAAAGCTTTTTCGGGAATGTCTTTTTTCAAGAATTTCGAAACTTGCTTGCAAAATAATTTATGAAACCATTCTTTAAATAAATAAGAAGTCATCCATGCATTTTTACTAGACGTATACTCCACCGGTAAACTCGTGCCTCTGTTTTAAAAGCCCTTGGATTTCTAGATTTGCCGATTACCAAAAGTTTCAATTTGTACGAACCATTTCCATTTGTAGACGCCAGAAAAGTTATTCTCTCCTTACTTGTTTTTCGGCCTGGAGCTGGACTCATCAACGTTATAGATTTGGCTTGAAGATAGCCCTTTTTCTTTTATGATCCGAGTTAACTTTTGTATAAAAGGTTTAACAGCAGAATTATCATAAGAGTTTTTCGCCGCATATTTGAAGATGCCTGAGTCCATGACGTGCCTTGAATTTCAAAAGCCGCATCAAATGTATCTTTATTGTAACATTTTTTTAAAAAATATTGTGCTTTTTCTGTTAGAATATCGTAGCTTAGTGGTATGTGTCGATCACGCTGTTGCAGGATATTCAGCAGACCGTAAAGTTTTTCTGCTGGCCCAGAAACGCATTTCTTCATAAAACTAAAATATTAAATGCATTAAATATAAAAACATTTTTTTCAAAATTGTATAACTCTTACGCATCTCTTGCCTCTGTTTTTCTTAATACCTGATATGGTGGATGTTCCCACTCCATACATTGCAGCTAACTTTTTACCACTATCACCTCGTTTTAGTATATCTAAAATTTCAGCCTTCTTTTGTATCGACAAAGTAATGTGTTTTCCTGTAGGAACCATGGCGTTTGTTGTTGAATGACTAACCCGTGGAAAGGTTCTGCTTTATTTGCGTCCCAGTCACGTGTCGCTCATGGTGTGATATTTAACAAGAACTTGTTAAGAACTTAATATCTGATCCGGACTAGAGAATCATGACAATCCGGATTACAGAGTTTGCGAGACAGGTCCGAATTATTTCAACATCCGGATTATAGCAATTCGGATTATCTAGTCGCTACTATATATATATATATAGAATTAACATCAATATCCCCTGCAAGGATGATATTATCATATTCAGGCAACATATCATCAAATGTATTACCGGCTTGTGCAATAAAGCTATTGTGTGAGCCGATAGAATATACCAATAGCAATTTTTTGTTTTGACCATATATATTCAAGACTTGGGCTTTGCCGATTTGAAATTATAGAAGAGTTGTAGTGTTTTTTACAAAGATTGTAACCCCACCACCTCGCCCATATCTATCACAACGATAGTAGTTATACCCATTTGCTCTTATATGGTCATTAGGTCTATCTTTGTATAACCACGTTTCCGAAACTCCAACAATATCAAGAAATCCTGATAGAACTGATCTGCAGTTTATATGACCAAATTTTAAAACTTTGAATTTATCACTATCCAGATTCAGTTTTAGATTTCAATTTTTTCTAAATGTTCTCCAGCACATGAAGAACATGATACTTTTGAATTTTCGCATTTTTTCCATATGACCAAATCCTCCACATTTATAGCATCGTATAATTCGTACATAGTCCTGCATAGGGCATCGTTGTCAACCCATGTATATATAACTACTAACATTTTTCTAAATTTTAGTGCTAACATCAATGACGACATTTAAATTATACCAAATTAATTCTGGGAAAAGAACTCGATTAATTCCTCACATTATATTAGACGCTGAAGATTCAGTATCAGTTCTCAATTTTTGGTACTTCAAAAAAGCTCTCAAGCCTCCTCTTCGCATGGATAAGGTGTCATTGAACGATATCGTTTTTCATACCTGTTCTAACTTCTGCATATTGGTGTTGCCTCAATTGTCCCTTATTGCGGAGGAGGCTTCATTACTAAATAATTTCGATTGAGCTTACCTTCCGATAGTCTTGAGTAGCTCTTGTGTAGGGTCCTGTTTATCGTCTGTACCATAGTTGATAACTGTAACTTCATCATATTTGGTTGGAGAGACCCAACCTAGATTCAAAAGTAGTGAGTTCTCTTGAATTGCTGAAGTGGTTGAATGGACATTGTTAGTTAGTGCACTCAGGAAGTACTCGGGTGTGAAGACTTGGCCCTTTGTAGCCGGCAGGATTGAGCGTAGCTCCTTCAGAAGTTTTTCCTCTGAAAATTACAATCATGTTAACCAATATCGAGACATTGTCGGATGGATGTTTACTGGGACCTACTTGCCTAGCGCAACACTTACCACAAGGTCATACCGAGAGATGGAAGCGTTGAAGAGGATTTCCCTACCGCTAACATCTGACAATATTCCATAGCTTACGATGATATCTATAGCCAGCAGCCGAAAAATGCTGCGATATGTCAAGGGATACCGTAGGACCTTTGCCCATTAGTCACTGTCTAAGGCCCGTATCGTCAGTCGTCCCTACAATTGTAGGGCGCGTTTATGGCCTCCTTGATTGTCATACTCCTTTCTCTCCTTCAAAAATTTCTAGATTACACTTGTCCCGTGTCAGCGTCAGCGCTCTCCTGTTGTGAAGATATTTTTTCTTTTTAAATTGTAGGAAATTTCATGCTGATAAAACATGATATAACTCAAAAGCAAGCACAATTTGATGCAAATAGAGGTTTGTGACATAACCTCAAAATAGAGCGCTGACACGGAGAAGTAGAAAACTATGACAATCAAGGAGGCCATAAAGGCGCGCTACAATGGTAGGGACGACTGACGATACGGGCCTAATGTACGTTAGTCGAATCTGTCAGTCCTGGTTGCCCAGAAACCAGACAAAGTCAAGGAAAAAGAGAAAGGGAAAGAGAAGAAAAGAAAAAGGAGAAGAGCAAAGAAAAACAGATGTGCTTAGTTTAAGAAGAAACACCTAGGCTTTTTGACTTGGTGCACGGATTAATTTTGAGGTGAACTAAACAAATTTTTGATTCGGTTTTGTTAGAGTGAAATTTTGAGTTTACTAAAAATTCGCACTAACTTTTGATTACAGTGCGAGCCGTGGCCTTGAATGTTTACGAACTGGCTCCACTGTTTAGTCCACTGAGTCACGTAACAGAGGGTTGCTGTGCGATTCTGCTTGACTATAGCGCCTGAAGCTTGACATAATCCCTCAAGTAAGGAATGTCAAGGTCTCTGTGTAGTCTCTCATTTGAGATATACCATGGAGCGTTGCAAATTGTCCGCAAAGTTCTGCTTTGCAGAACTTGATGACTTTGCATGTGTGTCTTGGCAAGAAAACACCAAGCGGCACATGCATAAGTAATGGCTGGTCTGATAATCATTTTATATAGTCGAACTTTGTTTATCAAACTCAATTTGGAGGATCTACATAACAAAGGATATAGTTGCCGAAACGCAATTTGGAATTTTGTTTTTATGGATGCTGTATGTTTCTGCCAGGTCATGCCCTTATCAAGGGTGACACCGAGATACTTGACATAATTTGTCTATGGTACACGGTTTCCGTCTACAGAAACCTCCGCTGGGGGGTGGGGGGGCGACATTTTTTGGTACAATAAATAACCTGCGTTTTCGAATGATTAATTTTTATCACCCCACTCTAGAACTTCGTACACCGCATTCTGCAACCCATCATGAACCAGATCACCAGTACACGACTGGGCGACAAGTGCAGTGTCGTCAGCATAGAGGTAGACTTCACACAGTTGCTGGGGCAAGGGACATTATGGATAAAAAGCGAATAAAGAATTGGTCCTAGGACCGAACCCTGAGGAACACCGGTCCGTACTGGCCGTGTTATTGACAAAACATTGTTAATTTTGATCCGAAACTTCCTTTCTTCAAGAAAGGATTTCAGTAATTTTGAAGCAATAAAGGAAAACCCTTTTGGATTAGTTTATAGAGGAGGCCCGCATGCCACACCTTGTCAAAGGCTTTTGAGACATCCAAAAGCAAGATGCCAGTACTCATGCTGAGGGTGAACCCTCTGGTTACATGCTCCATCAGCCTGACTGCCTGTAGCTCGGTGCTATGCTCGGACCGAAAACCGAATTGGACGTCAGGAATCACATGGTGATTTGACGAAACATTCTTAAGGTGACGATAAATCACCTTTTCGGCGAGCTTAGAAGGAGCTGACAGCAGACTTATGGGACGGTAGTCCTGAGGAAATATCGAACCCACCTTCTTTAGAATCATAATGACCTCAGCAGTATTCCACCCAGCAGGGAAGTACTGGATTCTGAGAGTCGCATAGATTATTGTCACCAAATATGTCAGGGCTTTCTGCGAGAGCAGCTTCAATGCCTTGTTGGTGATTTGATCCTCCCAAGGTGCTTTACGCACCTTGAGGTCTTTAATATGACTTAGGGGCTCCGCTGGTGTGCAATGTGGAAACTCGGAGGGTTTCACTAATGTACTATGTGGAGCCCCAGACGAATCTTCTGAAGAACAGTCATCTGAAGAAGATTCAGTGCCTCCGCTAACGCCGTTGGCCCTAAAATATCTCCTGACGGATCATATGATGTGCTGTTCTTCGTCGAGGTCATTATCGAGATCATAGTTGGGAGAGAACTGTTGTTCCGTGGCATCAGCGAAAACCTCGACCTTATCCTCCGTTCTGAAGACTATGCCTTCAGGGCCGTGGATGTGTGGGAGTTGTTTTCGCTTTCCGTTTCTGAGTGACTTTGCGACCCTCCAGAGAGGAATACTTGAATCAAGCATTCCCGCCAGAAAGTCGCTCCATTGCTCGTTGCGGAGTTCGTGCAGTGCGTTTCTCACTTCATGGACAAGATTTGTAGCCCTACGAATGTCATCTGGATGACAAGTCCTTTGTGCCTGCTTAATAGCGGCTCTTTTGTCAGAGATTTTCTGACGAATGAAGAATTTTGATGAATGCAGGCTGTCTACTATTGTACCTAGAAATTTGCAGGAAATATCGCCTGCAACGCTTGGGTAGCGCTAATCAGTGGGCTTATTATTTGTTGTAAGGACCTTAGCGCGGTTGCCTGGTTCACATTTTGCGTGCTCAAGGGAGGTTGGGCAGAGGGGGCAGGCAAGGCTGCCTCCCTAGCTGCGTCCGCGTATGATAGATTGCGCCTTTGCGCTATAACTTGCAAGTTTATCCTTGGAGTGAACTGGTAAGTCCGGTTATTTGCGGGATGTCCCTCTCCACAGTTCGCGCACTTGCGCTCTTCCTCTTCTGTGAGTGGGCACAAATGCGTTATGTGGTCCTTTGCACATTTTAAGCATTTGGGCGGTGCAGTGCAAAATGACTGCGCATGCCCATACTTTTGGCAGCGGTGACACTGCCCAGTGAGTCGGAGTTCTTCTGAACCTCAACTCGAATGGCCAGTCCCAGCAGTTCGTGTTCGTTGAATACTTGCTGAGACTTTTCAGTCTTGGCCAGTATCACGACCACCAAAGGCATGGGCGTGCCGCCGCTGCGCTTTTCATCGAATGATATGCTGAGGGCTATATCCACTCTGCTCAAGTTCTCCCTTGATCTCAGTATCCGAAAAATTAACGGGAACTCCTCGAACCACCGCATGGATGTTCCGTTCCGAAGGGAGAAGAAAAGTGTGATGAGGAACTTCTTCCTCTCGGAACAGGCGAACGATCTTACGGTAGTCGTCTTCGGATTTAGGAATAATCCTTATTCCCGCATCGACGGCAACCGCGCGATCTATTTTAATACCTAGGAAAATAAACTTGTAGTTTAAAGTACGCTATCTCGTCCCGTCGCGTAAGACGGTCGGGGTTATGCGCCCTTGTCGTGAGGGCTGTGTTGATGCCACGACGGTTGGACGAGATGATGAAGGAGAAGTAACGTGGGCTGACGGAGTCACCTGACAGATAGATAACATGGTCCCTGGCTCGGTAGTAGAGGCATTAATGGTGTGAAATGGAATTGATCCTGTATTCGGAAGAGGAGGAAAGTCTTGGGTTGATCGATCAGCCTTGTCGCCTTTCCTCCTTCTTGATTTTGCTTTTACAAATCCTTCGGTCTGTACGTCTTCGTCTGTACGTCTTCGTCTGACGATGTGAGATGATCATCAGTAACGTTTCTCAGTGGTCTTTTTAGGGTGTTTGTCCGTTCTTTAGGGGATTCTTTTGAATTTACTAATATTGTTACCCGGGCGGTCAGGCTGTCAATTTTGGCTGTCTGGTCCTTGATTAGGTCTCGAATATGCCTCGCCTGGTTGTCTATAATCAGCATCAGTTTTTCGATCGTTTTCTGCTCCGATGACATCTGCGTCAGTGGGCCCATGTTTTCTGCTTCTGCTTGGTTTCCGCCACCGCTCAGCTCTTTCCTCATAATATGTGGAACTGCGTTGTCTGTTGATTCTCCTGGGTCAACTTCCATCTTTTAACAACTTTTTCTTGGCCACAAGTCTCAGAAAACTTATAGCTCGCAAATGTGACAATGTTGTCAAAACCCTTCTTACAGGGCGTATATCAATCTTATCATGGTGGATCAAATATATGACGGCAAGGCGCCATGGCAATGTCGTAATATGATAACGCTTCCTATCGGGGTATTACTCATCATACTCTCCAATAGCCCGGGAAGGAATATTCTCTCAGTTGGCATGGAAAAATATGCTTTACAATCGCGCAGCTGGAGTCACCACCTAATTTTTCTCTGGCGGCATCGGAAAGCTGGCTGTGGGATCCCGCGATGGAGGACGACAACATGACGAACAATAGATATCGTCGTATTCTTTCACCAGCGAGCGTTGTTAAGAGGAACATAATTTTCGCTACCCGACTATTCTATATTTAGCAAATAATTCCATTTTTGAAAGACTGCAAATATTACAAAATAAGTGCATGAGAATAATACTAAATAAAGATAAATATACTCCAACTAGGCAAATGCTTAGCAAATTAAAATGGCTCAATGTGAAAAATTTTATCAAATATCTTGTAATGATATTCAGTTATAAAGTAAAAAATAATATATTTCCATCAAGTCTAACTAATTTAACATCATCAAATGTCAACCATCATTTACATGATACCAGAAATAAAGATGACTTCCATTTAATGACCTAAAAGTATAACATATGCTGCAAATCTGTATTCTATCAACGGTTGATTGAATATAATAAATTATACTCAGATATAAAAGACCAGAACACTTTGACAAAATTTAAAGTAAAATTGAGAAATCACTTGTTAAATCTACAATTATAGGTTGCCCAGCATTTACATCATACACCATATGGCTTGAATTTACCAGTTCTACACTTATTCTGTTTATGTAGCCAAATATGCTAAATAAATCTTTCTACTACTACTTTTCTGACGTCTTGCGGTATGCGCTTGTATTTACGGTCCTATATTTGTAATTGCATTTTCTACCATCGCTGGAAATAGAGCTGGGTAACTTTAGTAGTTTTGTAATGGTCATACTATATCTGTATTAGATTTAAAGATACTGAAGGAAGGCTTATACCTTCTTAAAAAACTACAAATGCAGTATGTAGAAGAAATGCAATACTCACTAATAGGGGTTTGTTGATTGGACTTAAAACTTTTCCTCAACTGCTCCACAATGTATCCATCACCATTGTTGTTGTCACTGTGACCGTTATATCCATTGCTCAGGCCTTTGGTGGATCCATTGACTCCATTACTATGTCCGTTGCTCGTTCCGTTTGTGAAAACACAAACTTTGCTGAAGGCCTCGTTTATAGAAACTGCACAATTGAGCATGTCTTTCAGGCTCAGTTTGCCATCTAGATGGGCTGCTAACAATTCACCGTAGGAGTAGCCAAAGTACTTTTCGGGTTTGACTTCGAGTTGCCTGAAAATGAGCATTAAAATACAGGTAAATACAGTTAAATATCCTACTGTCTATCGAACATCGTATCTACGAGGACAAGGGGAGAAGTTCACGGACTGACACAAATGTGGTGCTCCAGTTGGTAATCCGTACATGGGTGAACATGTAGTTTGTTCGTACGACAAGATTCATCTTGTTATTTCAAGTAGTTCTGCCAAGAGTTGGGGATGAGAAGGCTCTACGCGGGGTAGGTTCCGCATTTGCTGATTGCCGATCAAACGCGGATGTGCAAACGATTTCCTCAGCAATGTTTCGACCAGTTCATTAGGGATTCAACCAATTTTATGCGATGCTTCATTACCATGGATGAGGCATGGGTCAATCACGAAACGCCGAAAACGAAACAACAGTTGAAGCAGTCATGGCTAGTGTGTTTCGGGATGCGAATGGGATGGTGTGATGTGATTACCTTAAAAATAGTAAAATCATTACGGACTTATGCTATTTCAACCTCCTTGATCAACTGAATTCCAAAGATGTGTTAACAACCGGAAAACCACAGGATTTGTTCGGCCATCCTCCTCATTTTCTTGATTTGGCATCTTGAGATTTTTCCATTTGATCAAATTTCTTTCTGGAAAACGCTTTGGATCCTATGAAGAAGTTGAGAGGGCAGTTGAATAGTTTGGCAGTCTTTCGCTGCCGAGAAGAATTTCTAATGCTGGAGAAACGATGGGCCAATGAACTCATGTTTAACCTTAAAACCTCAGTCTTTCATTGTCAAGCCGAGAAATTTTCACAATACCCTCGTAATTACATTATCGAAAAGAATCAATTCGATAGTTGACAAAACTTGTTAAAAGCTAAATAACTATATAAATCTGTTAAATAGCTATATTTCTATTTATTATATAGAAAGTGTTTCTTAGGTTTTGGAATATGCCAGATATTTTATTCCCGATTTTTGCAAAAAACTGTTGGGGAACTGCACCGTTACTCAGTGCCTCAAACTTATTGAAAAAGAATGTAATTTTGATGCTCTGGTGTATTAGGTATATGTATGAGTTAGTTAGCTAAGACTGGACAGTTTTGGCTGTCGGCTAGAAGCAGGGTCTTATGCCATGTACGGCCCTTGGGAACTCGGGGCAGACGGCTGAGAGGGATCATTTCAAAGTCAATAGCTTAAAAGCAAAGCTTCTACTCAGACATGTTTTGTAAAGTTTTGAGTTTCAGGGGCTTCGGGGCTCTCATCAAGCCAGAATAAAGACTGAATAGGCTAGGAGATGTTTTTACCACTTTACAGTTCAAAAATGGGATCGGCAAGCGGATCTTCTTTCATGTTTATGCTGGGCCTCCGCGCCGCCCAAAATATTTTTTGCTAAAAGCATCTGGAAGGTTTCTTGTCGATACGTTCATTAATATCTCTATATTATGGGTTAAGAAGACATGCACATAAAAAATTTTCGATTAAAAGAAAGAAAATTTTTCGCCTCTTGGAGAACTAAACTGAAGTGTTATGACAGGGCTATGATGCTGGGTGTATGCTCAATGAGTACATAAAATGTATTGTTAGTTTTCAAAAATATTGATGAAGAAACATAGCTGTACTGTATACACAGGCTGATTCAAAGAGCAGTGGTAATATTTCTAGGGCCATGAAGTAGATCAAAACATAACATGAAAAGTCCATATAGACATGGGCCTTGTAATGCCTCGTTGCCGAGATACTGGCCGTTGAAGTTATACTTTCGAAATCGAGAAGAATTGTATCCTTGGAGTGGACTGAGATACTTATTGAAAATCTTGTACATGTAGCACTAACAGTATAGCCAATACATTCAGAAATTTTCGTGAATGATACCACACCAGTGGTGTAAAACTTGGGAAATTTTGACCCCTACAGAAGAAAAAATAAATTTACTTTCTTCGCCACTGACTTTCTTTTCTTGAGATATTGTCAGATTATTCGTTTTACAGAAAAATTGGTTTGAATATTAGACGTAAGAAATTTTGAAAATATGCTCTAATAGTGTTGTTTGAAATTATGAAAGAAGATAAAATTATTATCTCAAATGAGTTACATGGTGTTTCGATTGATAATGTATCATCAATACGCCTGAAGACGATTGACTATATAGTGGCGACAGTCGTATGGTCAATATTACTTAGCAACGGTCATTAAAGACATATACTAAGTGACATATAAATCCGAACACCCAGTTTAAATGGTTTTATTTTAATAAAAGTTGGTGAATGTATTTATCTTACTGTAAATAACAAGTGAAAAAATGTTCAGCCTTATCAGTTGGACATTCCGGTTTTTATACTGCTTTTTTTTAATTCACTAACGCTCTAAAAATGAATATTTCAGCCGCAGTAAAGAATCAACGTTGGCGGATTTTGGTTCTTGACATCCTTTACGATCGGTTACGATGCCTAGAGTACGGAGACCTGTACGATTTCGTCAACTTAGTGAGTTTGACAGGGGCCGTATAGTGGGACTTCGGGAAGCTGGACTTTCTTTTCGGGCAATTGAAGTTAGAGTGCAAAGAAGTGTAGACACTGTGGTTAGGTGTTGTCAGGCATGGCTTCGAGAAGGCCGAACGCAAAGAGCAAGGGGCATTGGACGCCGCCGTAGAACAACAGACCGTGAAGATCGCCGCCTAAGATTATTGGCCTTAAGGGACCGTTTCTCCACTACTAGGTCCATTGCAAATGAATGGTTTGCAGAACACGGAAGACCTTTTGGCATGCGAAGTGTTTACCGACGAATGAGAAGTTTTGGCTTGTTTTCATACCGGCCCTTTAACTCGAGAACACCGACGTAATCGCCTTGAGTGGTGCAGACAACGGTCACTCTGGGATCAGGAATGGAACAGTATTGTATTTAGTGACGAGTCTAGATTTTGTTTAGGCATGCACGATGGTCGTGCCAGGGTTAGAAGGCGACGTGGTGAAAGGAGGAATCCACAGTTTTTTGTTGAAAGACATGTTCATCACACTGTTGGAGTTATGATTTGGGGTGCTATAGCTTATTGTTCCAGGTCACCTTTAATCTTCATCAGAGGTAACATGAACGCGCAGCGTTATATCCACGAAGTTCTAGAACCCCATCTTTTGCCCTATCTTGACACCCTGGCAGATCCAACTTTCCAACAAGATAATGCCCGACCACATATTGCAAGAGTCACAATAGACTTCTTTCAACATAATGTCACATTGTTACCATGGCCACCAAGATCTCCCGACTTATCCCCAATTGAGCACGTGTGGGATATGATGGATAGGAGATTGCTCAATTTGCAACGACCTCCTCAGACTCTAGAAGCACTTCGAGAGGAGTTGGTGGTTGCCTGGAATGAGATACCACAGGAGGACATTGACCACCTGATCAGAAGCATGCCTAGGCGCGTTGGAGAATGCGTAGCACATCAGGGTGCATCCACACATTATTAAAGGTCAAAGGGCTTTAAAGCAGTGCAATCATTTACTCATTAAGTACTTATACAAAATTTTATTAAAATAAAACCATTTAAACTGGCTGTTCGGATTTATATGTCACTTAGTATATAACCGAGAAGGTGCTTTCTTTGACAGCTCGTCTTGCTTATTGGGGTGCGAGGCGCGGTACGCTTGTGATATCAAGTAGTGAATATTATACAGTCAGTACATATAGTCAAATTAGGTGAATTTATTGCTATGTCGGTATCGAAACAATACGATTCCTTTTAGATTCGCTGCGTTCAAAGGTGGTATTATACGGAACTACGGGTGCTTTTTACATTATTGCTCATTGCTCAAATGTTTAATTTATATAGGTGAACTAGCTTTAATTAATATTTAGACCTGTATCATATAATCACTATACTATACGCGTGTCGTAACCATAAAGAAGCAGAAGAAAATTAAACAGACACAATATCTCTGTTATCCACTATACCTTATTAATAGACGTCATGCAACTCAAATCGGTTCTAGTTAATCGATTTCGAAATAAATCTAGATCACCATAGCGTTATTTAACCATTATCGATGTTTTGTTTTTATTCAGTCTCATCAATTTACCACACTCTGAGAAATCGAATATTTTATGACAGAACTTTTTTTGTTATTACTTGTTAGTTTAGGATGTACTTTCTGCCCTAGAAACATGTTTTCTGAATCACCCCATCACCCCATATAGGAAAGGGAAAGAAAACTCGATTTTATCGTCTTGACAAGCAAATGAAGAACAATATAATTACACTAGCATAGGACGGATATCTATACAATTAAGGTAGCAAGTTCTCCACTTCATTTTTGAAGCAATGTTTCCATACCTTAGAACATCCACAATTCCCAGTTGTACAGCTATATTCCCCAGAACGCTGTACGAGTCCCTATTGGCTGGCTTCTTCATAATATCGATAATGTTAATACGATTCTCCAGGAGATATTTCTGAGTCCTGAAAAACGTCAATATCAAACATATTTTAATTTAGAGCATCACGCTCAAGCTTTCTTGACACAAACCTCTGGAAAGAATCTGCGAATACTGGAATCTCCAAAAGCTTTCTTCCTATAGTTATCCAATCAGTGAGTTCACCGAAAGTTACAAACAACGGAGTTCCCTTTCCATGGAAGCGATCATAATATCGACATGTTTCTCCTGACTTGGAAACAACATTGTACCCTCTGTAGATATGGTTTCTTATATTTTTCCTGAAAATATGTTTAAGGAAATGTGTCAAAACGATCATGACTTAAACTGCTAATTTTACGTTCCTAATAATGGCATGCCATGATGGCGAAGTAGTGACGCATACGATATGACCTTTTTGTAGCTAATAAGCTGGAAGACCAACATAGGGAAAAGAACACCCAGTAATAATGCATCTATTACTAAGATTTTTTAGGTATTTATGTTTGTTTAGGTTAGGGGAAAAAATCAATATCGATAAAGTGGTATTTGTGCTATCGTCTGTTCTCAAAAATGTAAGTAAGCGAACGTTCTGTTTTCTAGCTCCAATTGGCATTTGATCATCATTCAATTGGTCATTAGCGAGCACAGAAGTCTAAAAAAGGTGGTGGTTGTCGGCCATGGGATCGGGAAGCCCTTCACAAAGAGTTAGGGGTACGGGCGTGTCAGTAGCACACCAAGATCGCCAAATTAGGTTTTTGGCTTTATGGGACTGCTTTTCGTCGATAAGGTCAATTGCGGACTAATAGTTTGGAGAGCACTGGTGGATTGTTTTTCACCGGATCAACAATTCTGGACTTACATTATACCAGCCTCCTAGGCATCAAAGTGATCGAGTGGCTTAGTGCAGAGATTGGCTGATCTGTCACCTCGAATGAAATACCATGCCTTTCTGTTTGGGAATGCATGACGAGTTGAAAGACACTATTATCAATTTTCTATGGTAACGCGTGTGTACCACACTGTTGGAATCATGGTAAGTGGGGCTATTGCATATAGAAGCACGTTACCTTTAGTGTTCATCACATAACCGCCATGCATTACATGTAGCAGGTGATATCCCTAAGAGACGTGTATAATAAGAATTATTAGTGGGTCATCTTGTTTCGTATATTATGACACGTATTCCTTGTCCACTGTTGGATCGGCACGCAAATCTCAAACCGTAGGGAATGTTAAATTAGCTATTGCATCAAACATTTTCGTTTTATGTTTCATTAATTTGTAACAAGTTTGGCAGTACCTGAATATGTTATGTAATAGAGCAACATGCTCGGCATCCAACTGATTATCTTTGAGTTCATTTAGTAACGTTTGCACGGCTTCTGCTGTTCTACCACTGACAAACACCAATCTCGGTAGATTATCCGAAGGCAGGCCTTTGTTGATCTTCTTCTTCTTATTAGTTCGTAACAAAATGTGACAATTGCCTCCTCCAAATCCAAAGCTATTTATACCTTGAATGATAAATTGGGATAATTGAATATTAATTAACAGAGCCCACTAAATAGCAAGTAACATGATTAGATCCATCAAAACATCCTATCTGGATATGACGTACTGATGGCTGCAAAGTAAAAATCGAATCATTAGGAGTCGCGCTGATAGAAGTGCGTTGGCGAGAACCTCACGTTCACATTTCCAAAGAAACATTTATTGTTGAACCATATGGAACTCTGTTCATAAGACTGAACAAATTTAAAATGCAAATAACCATAGAGCTTTCGCATAGATGACGCTAAAGCCAACATTTTCCAGATGAGATTTTTCATGAATCGAAGTAAAAAAACGTTTCAGATAGTTTTATAAATGCAGAGCATTCGCCATAAAAAATTTGTATTACCAAAAAGTCCCTTTTCTTCATCAAAAGGCATTTTTTCGGTGACAACAGACATTCTTCCTTCACACAAAGCTTTAATTTCTGGTCTTGGTTCAGAGTAATGCAAGTTTGGTGGAATGAGACCTGTCTCCATCCCGATTATACACTGAAACAGAAAAATGTTGTATAATCCTTGGTAAGTATAAATTAACCACTACATATAGCAAGTATCGCAAGCTTTTTCTTTTCAAATCACCTTTGTTATTGAGCATAATCCAGATCCAGGTTCAGAATGTCCAATATTTGATTTGACAGAGCCAATTAGCAGGGGTATAGATCGGTTTTTCGCTAGTACCGCGTCCATTGCACCACACTCCTCGGGATCGCCCACGAAAGTGCCTTGAATATACAAGAAATTTGGATTATTCAACATGGATACGATGGTGTCTTAAGCTGTATTTCCAACGTGCACCGTGCTGAAGTGGCTTATAAATTTTAACGAACAGTAACAGTAATATGTTTAGCAGAAGCCAGAGATTATCAAGATATTTCAATGTCAATGATCATTTTTTAGCCAAGCTGCAGTAAGAAGTTAGACATAGACCTACGAGAGCAGACGCCTTTAGACGTGAATACAGTGGGCTCAGTGAATTGGGTATGTACTCCGTGGCCTCAGTGCTAGCCTTTTTGCCGATTCTGTCGTGTTGAAATATATGAGCATATTTCGAACATTAGCGTGTTATTCAGCTCATTAGTCTGAGAAGATACATATACATTTTTAGCTAATTTTAGATTTTGATTTTTGGAATTATTTTTCCTCGTGGCATTTCAGGAATATCAGTGAAATGTCCATGGACATGCTGAAATGGCGCACAGAACTTTGTAGTTTGTCTTTAAGCCTGCGCCAACACGCTTTCTGTGACTCGAATTGAATATAACGGACTAGTGGAGTGCATTACGTTTATACTACAGAAATTGCTGAAGCTTCACTTAATAATTGTATCCATTAAAGATTTACAAGAAAATGGCATCAAATTTTGTTTAATAAAGGGTCTTTACGCCATTTTTGTCTGAGTTTAACCTCTAGACTTTAAAAGGTATCTTAAATGTTCCGTTGTTATACTTATTACATTTTCTGCCTGAGCTCCACTCCAGCCCGCTACTTCAATGGAGATTTCAGTAGCAACTTCGAAATAAAACTTCAAAAGAGGTGATAATGACTCAACCCTCTTTTTCCTTTTTTGTAAAGCTTTTAAACGTTTTGCAGCAAAAAAATCTAGTAATACTCTGACTGACTTTCAATACGGCTATCGAATGTGGTTATCGTCCAGGGCTATCCACTGAAACTGCTTTCAATTGTGTACAACCTATCTGTGACCCGACTGATGTTGGTGGCTATACCGTCGCCATATTCTTTGGTTTGAGTACAGCCTTTGATACGGTTACTACCAATTTTGAATAAAAAAAGTCCATGATGGTTATACATGGCTGCATAAACTCCTGGTTAACAGGTTGCCTATATGGCAGACTGTCTTAGGTGAACCTTTGTGATGCAAAGTCGGAGAAGATTGGGTCAACCCCAGCAATTCTTGGACCACTAATTTTGCTACTACTTGATAATGACATACCTTACTTAAGTGTGGGGAAAACATTTTTAAATGTCAACGATACTGGTGCCAAAAAAAGATTTGAATAATTATCAACTTTAACAAAACAATGTTAACTCACAATATTATAAGAGTCAACTGAAGCCTTTTTGACTATGAATGAGTAGTCCTCAATATAAATGAAACTTCTTCTAATTGAATTAGATTCATATTTAGCGTGGGATAGACAAATAAGATATGCTCTTAAATAAGCAAGATTTACTATTTGATTAATAATCTGAAATCCATATCAGAGACTAAATTTCTTGTAAATGTTTGTTATACGACAGCGTATTGAAATTTCATATAGTATTGTTGGCTAGGGGGCAAACTGGAGAGAAGCAGTGCATTTTTATATTGCCGAAAAGCCTTATTCGCTTGCTCAAATTAGCCCATCAGCACTCATGGCGTGGAATTTTCAAACACTATAAATAATTCACAAAAGCCAATATTTACACCGCTAAAGATATATTTCACACTTATTATAACAGAAATAAGTTAGATAGACACTGCAGGACGTTTTGAAAAAGAAGTTAAGGGAGTTTTTACCATATGAATTTTACGTTCGTGACTTTTTCCATGAATCGGAGGAACGATATAACTATATTGTATCTTTACTATATTGTATCTTGTGTTTTAACTTTATATATTTTTTACCTGATGCATTCAATATCATATTACGCTGAGTTGGCGAGTAAACAGTAGATATGTGCACAAATATTTGTCATCTGTACTGCCATCTTTTCTAAATTAAACAATTCTTACCTGTTCCGTGAGCCTCTAAAAAACTGAGATCAGCTTGTTTGACATCACAGTCCTCGTAAAACTCGCTCAGCAGATGCATTTGCGCTTTTCCTGAAGGATAAGTGATCCCTTGCTCTTTGTAACCATCGCAACTGGTCTTGGCGTAAATTACATCACCATATACTCGGTTAGCATCTTTTGCTTTTTGAAGTACTACCACACCTACGCATTCTGAACGTGCATAGCCATTTCCAGCTTTATCGAAAGCTTTGCAGCTACCGTCTTTGCTCAGCACACCTAACCTAACAAATATTCTTTGATATTATCACTTTTTTCTCTCACTCATTATGTGTGAATGAGTATATTTCCGTCCGTTTTCAGACTCGTATGCACCTACGGGTGTGAGACATGGATTATAAACCGCTTACAAAACAGACTGCAGAGAGGAATTTTTTAAGGAAGGTAAAACAAATAACACCCAAGGATCGAAGAAGGAATGAAAAGGTAGAGAATAACTTGGGAGTACAGTCCATCTTCCAATTTATTCAACAAGGGCAATTAGGATAGTTACAAAAAATAGGCGATGAAATAACAGTAAAATAGGTATGGAAAGCGGAGATACAACTCAAGTTTAAAATAGGAAGAGCGAAAGCAATATGGGATAATATTCTGGAGAAAGCACTGAGGAGCCAATGGAAATCTTGCAGCGAAGCAGTAGTGATAGAAAAGAATCGAAAGCACTGATACAAGTTTATGTCTGAACATTCAACTTTAATTAAACCCGGCGTCATATTTAGAAAAAAGAGTATCTGATTATATATCTCACATTATTTTTTAATTTCAATGGCTATCCTTGGGTTGTAATTGAGAGAATGGCACCTTTAGCCAATTAGATGGATGGAGATAAGGACACAAGTAAACACCAAATAGTCATTATAAACTGTGTAACATTACATTGCTATAGGGTGCATCTTAGAAACCAGAATACTGCTCATGCAAAAGCTCTGAGTACTTTTTCTACGTATTGAGATATAAAACACTACATTTTTATATTGATGACAAATATTAACTTAGATGGTGTCCCTGTTTTTTATCCATGATTCAAGTACTTTTAAACTAAATTCTATACAGTTTTTTCTTTACTTTTGCTTGGGTTTGCTCTTACCTAGAAAACTGAAGCGATACAAAGGGATGACAACAAATGTTAACACCTCCAACGAGTGCCGTATCGATCTCCCCGCTTCTGATTGCTTTGAATGCATTTTCAAGCGCGAAAAGAGAACTACTGCAAGCTGTGTCCACGGTGATGGATGGACCTCTCAGTTTTAAGTATTGAGACAGGCGATGCGCTATCATGGATCTTGAAGCTCTGCAACAAGTTTTCTACATTAATTTCAATCAGAAATGTATAGTTGGACTTTATATAATTTTCGCAGTGTCGAGATCGTCCATAAGTTTGACCAAAAGGGACGTAGTCAAAAGTCCAAATTCTAAGGCTACAACGAAATTTCAGCAAAGCAGTCAGTCACTTTATACTAGCCAATCCTAGATCTGACCACACTTTGAACTTTGGCTATAATATGGAGCTACTATAACATGTCAGAAAAAACTTACCCAGTCCACGCAAAATTATCAGACGCCTTATTCTCCCAAAACCAACATTTCTCACTTTCACTGAAACAGACTCCAACGTATACTCCCGTTTTTGATCCTTCCATGTCTGTGGGATTTATACCAGCGTCCATGATAGCTTCTATAGCTTTCTCCTGGATCATTCTTCCCATAGTATCAAAAGAATGGCCCTGTCTTTCATGTGTCCCTGGAAGTATACGTCACTGAGTGAACTATCAATAACGTATTTTTGTAATTTTTTTTCGATAAAAAATTCAATAAGATTCTTTTCTTGGACCAAGGATAGCTGTCGTGAATCCTATGTAAAACATGTTTCTTTTACCCGTATGGGCCTCAAAACTTACATATCTATCTTTGTATACAATTTTGTAGATTTTCAGAATCCAGTCTCCTTGAGAAAATTTGCTATTCCCGCTCTTCTAAAATTCTTGGGGGTACTTTTACACAAGTCATCTCTTGCAAATGATCTGCCCCTTGAGAAAAATGTCTGCGGTCGCTCTTGACCACTTTGAATAAGTTTAAAGAAGTAGGGCTCTCAACACAAGGAATTGGACTTTCTAGGTCATATCAGGAACGTGGAAATATAGGTTCAAGGTATCGAAACTCAGAACGGAGTTTTTTGGAATCAGGACATATTACAAAGAAATCCATTTCACATGTGCGAAAGACGTCATTATCGGCCAAAATCTTAAGCCAATATATTCAATGTACTATCCCTTTTACTCACCAAAGAACCCAGCATCATATCTGTTGATCTCTGGCAGGGTTCCAGAGCAGTCAGGTATTTCAGGGTGATTGAAAGTCCACCTTCTGTTTGGTAACACCATGTTCACCTTTTGGAAGAGGTTATCTCGAAACTCGTATACATTCTTCGACATTGGAAAAGCTCCAGACAACCCTGAGGAGAAAATGTAAGGTTTGCATGAAGTTTTAAAACAATGGCGTTAGATAAATTCTTATAACTAAGATAACTTTAAATATGTATAGGTCCATTCACCGTAGTCCTTCCAGGACGTGATAGGGAGCCTAAAATGCAACAAATTCCATTCTATTTAGGTGCAAATAAAAAGTTTTCGGGATTTTTCAATTTTATGATTTCTCAAGTATCACCCGAAATCCAAATAATATAGACAATTTAAGATAAAAGTGAGTCTGCAATTGTTTTTCCTAGTTTGTAATACAAATGAGTGAAAACAATCATAAAAAGTGTTAAAATACTACACGCAATAACATAACAGCTATTTTAAAAGACAAAATAATTTTCCTCTTTAGTTTTCCTTGTGTCTAGCTCTGAAGCTTACTAGTACAAGTTACCTGCCCGTATTGTCAGATAATGTTCAATTCTTAACAAATATTTGGTCAAACCGAATTACGTTAAGTAATAATTTTAATGATTATTTCAAATAAATATAATAATTTTCCACAAATCTTGCTGAGTTTGAGCCTCTTAGTTGAGAATAAGATCTGCATTTAGTTTCTAGCTCCTGCTTTCGTCGCCATTAAGAAAATTGGCACTTAGTTATTTTGACGTATTCACGATGCACTAAAGAAATTGCTCCAGCATTTGAGTTCTCTGACGCCTGATTACTGCCCGCGTTACGTGTTTTTGATATCGAGTTTCCCAATTGCTCTCAAAGACATGTAAAATCCGGAAAATACGAGATTTTTGTTGAGCTTCAGCAGCTACTATAAAAAACAATAAGGGGCTGTAATCCATCATTGATTACTGCGCTAAATTCTATTTGAAGCTTCTAAGGTGCTACAAATCAAAATCTCCCATCATGAGCAGCGATCAGATTTCAGAAAGTTCATAATATTGAAGCAGCTTATTTGCTTATTTGCAAATAATTATACTTTCTCATAGTGATGTTCAATACCATTTTGAAGAGCTGATAATAGGGGTAAGTTTTTTCTAGTAATTTGTCCGCACAACATACTAGCATTTTTTCAAGCTGGCACAACTTTTTTATAAGAGAAACTGAAAACGAAAACTCATTACTTTTAAGATTACCTGTTATTTTATTTTGTATTGTATTTTGTGCATTTTTCAAGGAGGCTAACGGAAATATTCAGACAACACAGTATTTTGAAAGGTGTGTTACCACTTTTAGTTCATAGAAAATATAATATTCATTGACATTTTGACTCTCAAAAATCTTTATTGTCATGTAATCAAGATGGTGTTTGATTATTTTTCGAACCTGATATAACGATTTGCTCTTCAGGTGGTGAGGCACATAGAACTCTGCCCATCTCGAGATTAATTCTCCTCTCTTCCGATCTAGCATCGGAAGATTTTGTATCCACTTCCATGACTTGAATCTGCAAAAAAAAACTTCAAATACATTCTGGAGACTCACAAAATTTATCCAAAATCAGAAATATTCGAAAAGTTCTGACGAAACCCTTCTTGTATCATTAGCTTTCGATGCTCTATCATTTAAATTTTTACTCACAATTTTCTTCAACAGTTTATCTATCTTATTATTTTTGTGCAAAGTGTGACCAAATTCACATTTTTTACAAAATTTCATACATAGCTAAAATATACTGAAAAGTACTGTTTCGTCAATACATCATAGGTATACGATAGAGGACAGAGGCAGTGAAATCATCATCGACAGCATAGAACATTGTAACCTTTTGTGTATCAATCACTAACCGGATTTTTCAGATTTTTAGAGAAATGCTTTTAGATTACTGAATAGTCGACAGTTTACTTAACAAAAGCGAGTGCTTCCATAAACATACACTGAAAATCAAATACCACTGACGCCGCAGTGTGTATGAGAAAAAAGCGCGAGGAGCGTGCAATACATGTGTTAAAAAGAGGTAGAAGCAGCTCGTTGTAACCCGAGTACGAGGTCACGGATGCCATCGGCGCACTCTTTCTAACCTACATATTGCAGGCTTCTCGCGCTTTTCTCTCGTACAGATAATCACCGAAGTGTAAAATGTTCCTAAACCGCTGTAGTTTTATCCATCGGAACTCATGGGAAATGGCGTGACGTAAGTTATCTCTACACTTCCTACGCAATGCTGTCATCGGTTCATACAGGACACACATTAGACTCTCAGAGATAAAAAGTTAACTTCAAATATGTATAACGAAAGAAAATAAATCAGGTTAGTCAATCAGGCCTGTACAGTTAGTCCATAGTGCCCACCACTAAGCACATTGCGATCTCGAAATTTCTTCCCTATCTTTCTGACAGTTCCGACAATCTGGCAAGGCTGCTATGACTAACCTCGCCACTCTCAAGCCGCGCATCTCAATCTATCAGGACACGATTCAGACATCGATCGGACCTCGAAGCAAGTTTTAAAGCCAAATGTACCTACTGGAAAATCTATGAGTTTAAAATGTGCCTCACAGGAGGGCAGAGTTACTAGAGTTGAAAGCGTAATATTATACCAGCGTGAGAAAATCAGATATACCCTGCCCCACTCCTCATAACCCCCAATTTCTAACCCCTACAATAATCTTTGTGAGAACGAGCGGTAGTACCTGAAACGTCAAAAACAGTATTATTGCGGCTTGTTTTTTTTCTTTTTTGCCTCTGGCTCCACTGCTACCGAATCCATTTTCGAAAACAACAAAGCCTTTTTATACTTGGCTCAGTAGTAACCTTATGTGAATATGTCATCAGAATCTGAGGGGTACGGACCAGGGATTAGTAGGCAGACAGACAGATCGAGGGGAATGAGTGACATAGTTTTTCGTGACGTACATGTCATATAAGATCCAAAAAACATAATATCTCATTTTCGAAATTTTTCGCTACCACAGTAGTTCCTCGCCAGTGGCGTAGCAAGTAAAAATGATTCAATTTGCAGATTTTGATCTGTATGAACTCAATGTATCCCAGTATTTGTACTTCAATGAAAACTGTTGGTTCTCTCGTCCCTTGATGAACAAATTTATAACCATCCAGGGGCATTCCCACATTTCTGCTTAATTCTAGAATATTTATGATTTTTTTAGTTACACACTCTCAAGCTATTCGTTCTTCGACTCCGCTGACAGAGAAATCAGTGGCGTGCATAGTGATCGCGCCATCTCTGGGTTAATTGATTGGGATATAACCAATACAGATTAAGTATCTTAATGCTTAGCGCTGCGTTACAAAGCTTTATCACTCAAGTAATTTAAGAGAAATTAAAAATATCAATATTAAAAGAAATTAACTAACTCCCGATATCTCAGCAAGAAAGATATAAAATATATAAGTTGACCTGGCCTAAGTTATTCAGCTTAATGAGATCTACTATCTGATATGTGTATAATAATCGTATATGTTTATAGAAAATTTTATTATGTATAAGAAATTAAAGGCAAATGAAACTAAAAGCACATACAATATTAATAGGTATTTTTTTTATTTTCGATTTTTATATCTTACAGTCCTCCCAAAAAATTAATATATCATTTTCGAAACTTTTCGTAATTACAATATACTTCCTCGACAGGCATGTAAGGTAAAAGAGTTTCTATTGGGAAAAACCTGTCTGATTACGATGTTGTTTACCCTAGACCTTATAAGATTAACATGTATATGAGAAGCAAATTAATACCAATAGCTACGTCAAATAACGGTTGTAGAAGTACAGTATCGTCATTGAACAGAAATATAATCGAAAGTCGAAAATTATAGAAAGCAAACAGTCTGCTTTCAATATTCATTATAACCAATCTGAATGCTAAGTTACTTCCAAAAAATGTATTTACTATTCATGAGTTTGAATGAATTCCAAATTGCTTTTAAAGTAGCAAAAATTTAATGCGTGTGGCAAAGTGTAGCATGGTAATTTCACTAGTGACTATACACAATGCAGGTGTTTCCAGTTACACTTATCAATAAAACATGTTTTGTTTCCGTGGACAAGCCCTTCAAAAGATATAGTAGTAGTTGTTGTTGTATTTGATATTTCCTGACAGGAACACGCATGAAACAGTACACAAAAGATCCGAACAAGAAAATTTGACCAGAATTGTGGTTCGACCAGTTAGGGTAAAGGTAAGCAAACGTTCAATGAGCAGTCCATGGTTGATCTCCCTTATTTTGTATAACAGAAGAGGCTACGCCCCGGTTCTGCAGAGACCATGATTCAATTCCAGTGCACCTCTTGTATTACAACAAAGGCCTGACGATGCTAAGGGTTCAGATATTTCGAATCAAGTCCAAAAGTGTAAAGCTAAAGTGATCTATCGACGCTATAGAATCTGATTACAGTATCAAAGTTGAATACGATTCCTCAGACCATAGGTTCCCAATTTTAGTTGGTCTTGAAACCGTAATTAATCATACTTTTTCTTTAACAGAGCCCCAGCAGGCTATTTTGATATCAAAGTAGTAGTAGTTTGAATATTTTCATATTAGACTCGAATAAAGAACACACTATAAATCGGACCTCCAGCGCCTTTGATCGGGCGGACGCGTCGACGCGGCGCGGTAATAAGTCCTTTTCACGAACATTTTCACTCTCAGACAGATCTCAGGACTCCGGTGACCCTTCCGCGGGACCCCTGGGTTCCACGAACCGCCTTTTAGAAATCGCTGCCTTAGACGATGCACAACTTTAGATATGTGGGGCTACTCACAGATACATGTAGTACATAGCGCCGTTTAGGTTCGCATACTGTAATCTGTACTATTTCCTTTTGATTGATATCGTCAAATTACTAAGAATCATGGAAATAAGTAGTAGCAACACAAAAAACTGAACTCTGAAATCATTCCTGATGTATTTTTTTCTGGGATCTCCATGTACCGCCATTAAGTTATGAACGCAAACTCGGCAGTGAATATATAACTTGATGATAGTCACAGTGAAGTACGTGACAACGATAGTTCATAATTCATCTAGTAGGACCTGTTTGACGTTAAGAGGAGGTCAAAACCAACAAATAGCAATTCACATCCGTAAAAAACGGCTTTTACTCGCGACATTCCATACTGAAAATTATTATAGATATTGATATTTTAATCGCCTTCTGAAATTTGCATTTATTTAGAATGTTTTATATTGGTTATTAAACGAAAGTAGTATGTAGTGTCCATTGACCTCATGGTAGGTGCATATATGACATAGTGAACTATTTTAGGGCCTCTGCACTCATTGTTTATGACATGTTCGGTACTGCCTGTCCAGCTTTCTACTTTAGTAAACCTGTAGACGGGGTTCAATTTTCAATGCCAAGGATGTAGTCACGATTGCCATTTGCAGTCTTTGCGGCGCTTGAGCTAGTGAGTTGAAAGCTAGTGGTACCTAATGTAATGTTAACCAATGTTTCTCTCCATTCTAAAATAATCAGCTTAGATTAAGTGTTTTGTACTTGAATCACTACGAAGGCGAGGGAACACGTGTGCGACATGCACACATTTTGACTCTGCTTTAGAGATCCATCCGTTGGCGACAATTTGAGACCATCTACCACCTACGGACAACTATAACATCTCTTCTTCTCTTGGGATGCGATTCGGATCCGCGCAGCTCACGGCAACTAATTAGCGTCTTCCAGAACGCTACCGCGACGGACGTGTAAGTGAAATATCAAAAATACAAGAATTACATTTTTTTCGCAGAACGGCCAACGATGAAAAAGGTTTTTTACTTAAAACACTTAATTTTTATGTTTTTTAGGGTGCTGAAACTAATATGATACTTAAAAAGCCGTACCACCCACCATTTCTTCACTTTTCAATATTTTATAGTTAAATTTATTAAACTAAGCGATTTTTTAAGAACTGGACAAATGTTATATAGTTAAAATAATTGAAAAACTAGGTCTAAATGGATGCAGAAGACGTTGGTGGCACCGCTGAAACACATTTTCCCACTTTCACAGTAGGGCTAGGGAACAACATTGGTGCAGAAAGAAATAGCCTTTGAGGGAGTCTTTGACACCTGTTGAGAAGAAAATTCTCTGCAAAAATCTTGTAGATCCAAAAATATGCTCCTACCACCTCTACATATAAAGTTACGACTGATGAAACAGTTTGTAAAGGCTCTGCCTGAAGATGGACCATGTTTCAGGTATCTCTGCCAAAAGTTTCCACACCTTTCAGAAGCAAAACTGGTGTCTTTGTTGGACCTGGCATTAGAAAAATGATGTTTGACGTTAACTTTGAATCCACAATGACCTTAAATGAGAAAATAGTGCATGGGCATCTTTCAAGGAAGTCGTTAAAAAGTTTTTGCGAAATAAAAAAGGACCCAGAATATGTTACTATTGTAGCTAACATGTAACATGATCCTTGAAATTCAGTTTTTAAACAGTCGCCTTGATTACTTCCCGAACAAGTTGGGAGTCGTTAGTGAGGAGCAAGGTGAGCGTTTTCTTTTAACTTATGGAAAAACGCTACCAGCGCCGATGGAATACCAGCATGATGGTGGATTATGGTTGATCCCTTCACAGAGAAGTTCAGCAAGCAACTCATTGAAGAGAAAGCTACACAAGAAGCTTCAAAGAAAAAAGAGAAAGACAGTATAAGCCAGTGTCAGCTGACAATTAAATCCAGTATTATATCCTTGTTTTAAGTACCCTACTGTAAATACAAACCATGCCAATTCAATGTAACATAGCGTGTTCATTAATTCCACCATATACGAGTACAGTATGAATATTTTATACTATATAATGAAAAGCAAATTGCTCAAAAATTATGGGTGATACAAAAAAACTAAGGCGATATTTAGATTAAGCTCACAAAAAACTATAAAAAGCAGCCTTCAAAGTAAAAAAAGTTTTCAAAAATATTTTTTTTTTGTTTGCCTGTGGTTACTGTTCGCTTATTTTTAATTTCAATCGATTGACATTGAATTCCACCGTTCTATTACAAAAAAAGATATTTTATATGTTATGATAAATAATCAGGTCCTAATTCATGGTGAGGCTGCAGCGGTGGCCGCAGTAGTAGACTCTTCGGTCTCTTGATCAGTCGCAGTGCGCTGTGCGGGTTCGAATCCCGTCCCAGGAGAAATGTTTCTCTTGGCTATGGATGTTGTGATCGTCCCTACATGCTCATGTGTTCCCTCGCTAGAGTCTGTGTGGCGTTCCCCCTTTCCCCTGTATCTCCCTATAGCCCCACGGTACCCCATGGGTGTTTAGGCCTTAGGCCTTCTGGTAGTTGGAGTATAAAAAAAAACATGAAAACGGCGATGGCGTCATATCTCAAATTATGATGACGTCACATTGGAAACAGTCGTGCCAGCCGGACTCAACGTATTAAAGCTTTCAACTTCTATGTGCACATATTACACACTATTGGAGCATAGATTATATTAAGATATGGTAGAGAATGGAGGTCTGCGTAAACGAAAAATAAGCAGCTATCGCGTGTTCACCGCCTATCAAAGGCTACAATTTTGTGAGCCTTGCATCCTGTTACTCAATGATTAAAGCCTCTCCAAGCATCTCACAGACTCTGAAGAGAAATAAGGGCTGATGCGTTCGGGTTCACCTAAGATTATCCTAATCACAAAATCTATTACGGATTCGCAATACGAACACCCATATAATCACAAACATCGCCACTATTTTCACTGTCTTACCTTATTAGCACGAGCTACGCCAATATATCACAAAGCTGAGGGTGTTAGTCCAAGAAAAATCCAACCGAAACCCCGATAACGTCTATCCAGACCATAAATGGAATAACTTCACGCACCACACCTCAAACAATTCACTGCAAATAAGTTCGGACTTACAAATGACACTTATTTATAACATCCAATGGCGAATCGATTGATTATTAAAATTTTCACCCTAGCCGTGACCTCTTTAAAGTTGGTGCTGTCGATTTTTTTGTTCACTCGAAGCCGGCGCGGATGGGTCATGTTTTCGTCAGTATTTTCGACAATTTTTGCATAAACAAACAGAACTCTCTTCCCGGTTCATTTGTTTATGCCACGTTTTTGAATTTCTAATTTCCAGTTGATATTAAGCAATTGTAATTTTTCCCAATGCCACCAGTAGTAACACCTTCCGGATGTGTCTCTTCAGTGGCACTACATCCTAAATTTATCATTGGCCTTGAATTCATCCGATCTGATGCTGTTCTTTTCCACGTTGTGTTCTTCTGAAACTTGCTTTTCTCCAACATTTTCTTGGCCATCCTTTCGGTTGTTTGCCCTGCATTCCAATGTTCATTGCTCTTACTCTCCACGTCAACTGGCGAGGAAGTCCAAAAGTGTAAAGCTGAAGTGATCTATCGACGCTATAGAATCTGATTACAGTATCAAAGTTGAATACGATTCCTCAGACCACAGGTCTTGAAACCGTAATTAATCATACTTTTTCTTTAACAGAGCCTCAGCAGGCTATCTTGATATCAAAGTAGTAGTAGTTTGAATATTTTCATATTAGACTCGAATAAAGAACTAACTATAAATCGGACCTCCAGCGCCTTTGATCGGGTGGACGCGTCGACGCGGCGCGGTAATGAGTCCTTTTCACGAACATTTTCACTCTCGGACAGATCTCAGAACTCCGGTGACCCTTCCGCGGGACCCCTGGGTTCCACGAACCGCCTTTTAGACATCGCTGCCTTAGACGATGCACAACTTAGATATGTGGGGCTACTCACAGATACATGTAGTACATAGCGCCGTTTAGGTTCGCATACTGTAATCTGTACTATACTAAGTGACATATAAATCCGAACACCCAGTTTAAATGGTTTTATTTTAATACAAGTTGGTGAATGTTTTTATCTTACTGTAAATAACAAGTGAAAAAATTTCCAGCCTTATCAGTTGGACATTCCGGTTTTTATACTGCTTTTTTTTAATTTACTAACGCTCTAAAAATGAATATTTCAGCCGCAGTAAAGAATCAACGTTGGCGGATTTTGGTTCTTGACATCCTTTACGATCGGTTACGATGCCTAGAGTACGGAGACCTGTACGATTTCGTCAACTTAGTGAGTTTGATAGGGGCCGTATAGTGGGACTTCGGGAAGCTAGAACTTTCTTTTCGGGCAATTGCAGTTAGAGTGCAAAGAAGTGTAGACACTGTGGTTAGGTGTTGTCAGGCATGGCTTCGAGATGGCCGTACGCAAAGAGCAAGGGGCACTGGACGCCGCCGTAGAACAACAGACCGTGAAGATCGCCGCCTAAGATTATTGGCCTTAAGGGACCGTTTCTCCACTACCAGGTCCATTGCAAATGAATGGTTTGCAGAACACGGAAGACCTATTGGCATGCGAAGTGTTTACCGACGAATGAGAAGTTTTGGCTTGTTTTCATACCGGCCACACTGGGTCCTCCCTCGAGAACACCGAGTGGTGCAGACAACGGTCACTCTGGGATCAGGAATGGAACAGTATTGTCTTTGGTGACGAGTCTCGATTTTGTTTAGGCATGCACGATGGTCGTGCCAGGGTTAGAAGGCGACGTGGTGAAAGGAGGAATCCACAGTTTTTTGTTGAAAGACATGTTCATCACACTGTTGGAGTTATGGTTTGGGGTGGCGAGGAAGTGTTGTAAATGCGAAATGTTTCGACAATAATATATTTCGTTCTTTTGGGTACTGGTGTAAAAAAAGATGTCACTAATTTTCGTCGGTCTGGCTATCAGTCTGTCGATCTGTCGGTCTATTAGTCTATAGGCCTGTCTAGCTATCTGTCGGTCTGTATGTTGGTCTATTCGCTAATCCTTGGTCCATCCATAACTTGGAAAGTACTGCTCGGAATTGGATGAAATTTTTACACAAGATTACTGCTATTCCAAGGACGTAAAATCTTTGTAGTGTTTCATAAAACGATTCTATGGCGACGGCGAAGGAATCAAAAATGAAAAAACAAAAATCGCTCAAACTCCTTTTTATGACGTTTCCTGTTCATTTTCGGGTGTGTCATGCAATCAGGTATCGGAGAGAGACGACGTTGCCATATAGACGGACTACCGCTAGGGCAGTGAAAGAATGGCGATGAACTAATTATATGGGACTGTTTGACTGACTTAATGCGTTCAATTTCTCTGCTTTACATGTTCGTAACTAATATTCTTCTCGGAGTGTCTAACTTAAGCTTGCTGCTTTTGTCAGCCCCACTAAAGACAGTCAACCATGGACAGCTATTTCGTGCTTTTTTGGTAATTCATCAGCATAGTCTAGATTCTAGACAGGGTCTAACTTGTGCTGAACATAATCCTTTATGACCTGATATCAGCGGTGTGCGGGAAGTGCATCTGCATGTCCCGTTCATCACAACCGTTGTAGTTTAGCAAAGTCGGATATCAGTGGTCGTATAATTGATAGAGTTCAGGATTGTACCTAAGTCTCCATTGTAGAATTTCATTTACTGGTCTAAATGTTTGTATTAGTATTTTTTGCTCCAATATATCTTCCTGCTACTTGGAAAAAAATAGTTTCGGTCGAAGGCTTTCTTCGCCATTTAAATTATATCAAATATTATATAGCAATATAATTATATCAAATATACTCATTGCTATTTCCTTTTCCTTCAGTTCAGCATGCTGCCCTGTTGAGGAAACTTTCATACTGTTGGTCCTCAGAGAAGCTTCTCGAAGGGATATCATACATTTTTCCGATCTTTACGAGCTATTTAAAATACTACTCTCTCTTTATATCTGCTCTAACTTTATCGAAAGCCTTGAACATATCCGTGATATAAGGTATGTAGCAGCCTCGGGTTATACATGAAGTTGAGAGCCATTGACTAAGGGACATACTTTGTGGAGATCGTCAAATGTTTCGCCTACCTTCTCAGTCTTTTGAAATTTTCAAACGACCATATCCACTTTGTTTGCTTTCTTTTCATCTGACTCCAGGACTACTAGATCTATACCGCAATGATGGCTGAGAGCAAGCATGTTGATTTCAATCGTGTATATTTATGCATATACGCATAGAAAGCCATTGTTCATCGTACGAGATGAGGATGAAGATCAACTTGGCAAAGTATTGGTAGGTGGAGATCATCAGATTTTTTGACTACTTCCGCACACTTACTCTGCCGTTTGGAAAAATTGAAGAACATTTTTTGAAATTTTGTTTGATTTTTGGACATTTGGGGCCCCTCATCAAGCCAGTGCCCTGGGCGCGGACCCCGTGTACTTATATGGTAAATGCTAGTCTAGTTATGAGTTTCATCTTTACTCATGAAGTCGCTGCAAGCTATTATGTTAAAACAGTTGATCCTAATATTGTTGCTACAGGAAACCGAGAAATGTTCTTAGTACAGTGGGACGTTTGATTCAGTCAATCCATTTACATCATATTTTTGTGGCACGCTTACTCACGTGACCAGGGATATACGAACGGAAAATCTAAAATCCAAAACAAAATAATGTCATTGTTACGTTTTGCGTTACTTTCGTGCTATTCTAAATTAACATAGCTGCGACATGAATGATTGTTTTTCTTGTCGACTGTGTGAACTTTATTTTTGCTAACCTTTTCGACACCTTTGTGATTCATTTAATAACCATTTCCGATAAGGCATATGCAAAACGTGAAATTCGAGAGGTCGGTGCTTGGAAAAAAAGCGGCACAAATCCGAAAGATTTAAATAATAATAATAATAATAGACGTCTTTATTCATCCACAATTACATTGTAGTATAGCCAAATGTCAGACTTATATGGCGAAGTTTAGCATGCTGCTACTCTTACACTTAACCATATAGTCTCTAGCAGATGTTCAAAAGAATACAATATCCACAAACAGATTTGGTTCATTACATCGAAAGTAAAATTTAAAAAAAGAGAAAAAGGCATACTTTCCAAACCCAAATGCACCAAAAAATTATTAATCTGAATTAAAGATGAAATAAAAAAGAAATGAATGAGTGATTAGGTAAATTATATGTTTGGAGGGTTAAGTAATAATGTTTTAACTTTTTGTCGAAAGACAGTTAATGAAAATTCTTTATATACTTTAGGAAGGTCATTATAAATAATAGCAACATTGTAAGAAAAACTGCGTTTAAAAAGTGAAGACGTATGCAGGGGTATTCTAATATTATTTTCTATGAGAGTTCTACAGTGAACATCATTATTAAATGAAATTTTTTCCTTCAAGTAATAAGGTTTAGACGTGAGCAGCAATTTGTGAACAAAAACTGAATGGTGATACTTGACCATGTCATTAATTTTAAACCAGTTTAGAACGGGATATTTCGCTGATACATGATCAAATTTACGTAAGCCTATAACAAAACAAAATTATCGTGAACAAAGAATTCCAAATTGTTCAGCATAAAGCCATATCCGAATATTTACCCACTTCAAATAGCTTCCAAACGGGGTGATGTGATATCATGACAATTCAAATGCTCATTCCAGGTTGCAACCTGCAAGACAAGTTAGGGTCAGTATTCATGCTGATGAGTACATCTTAGTGAGAATGTTTTATACTATGAAAAAAATGACGTCAAGCAGGTTGGCTCTGCACTTCCCACGCAACGCTGTCATCAGCTTATATAGGATAATGTTCGACACAAGTTAGACCCTCTGAGAAAAAGGTTCGCTATGAACATGTAATAAAGATGAATCCATTAAGTCAAACAGGTCCATACAAATAGTCCATAGACATCTTTCCCCTGCCCATCTTATGCTCATCTTATAACGTCCCCCTTCCCCCATACCTTATAGCTCAGACTCGGCTCTGCTGAAACGACACTGATGGGGATAATCCTCCATCATACTGTTTTAAGGACAAATGTATGGAAAAACATATGTCTAAAATACGTTCAACAGGTACGTAGAAGAGATTTACCCTTCCCTACTCCAACAACCTCCAATTCAACCACAATTTTCTTCTGAAAATGATCAGGAGCCTCTGAAACGTCAAAAAATTAAGTTTAAGCTAACTTTATTTTTTTTGTTTTTTTTCCTTAGCTATGCTGCCACTGGACCGATTTTCAAAAACACACTATGTGGTTTCTTAGTGCTCCCTTATCATGAAAATTCTTTATCTACCTTATGACTTGGGAGTGTCGGCAGCATTAGCAAATATCTTCTTTGTAGAGAAATTGCT